TGGAGTGGTGAATTATATAGCTACAAAGGCAGAAAATTAATTAACGCACGTAAAAGTATGAATCAAATTAAAATCAGCATACGTACAATATTGTAATCTATGAACGCACAGTATCGTTTTTTTTTTAAGAATCCCTAATCTTTCAACAATAACATGAACAGTATTGTAACCTCTGCACGTACAGATTTGTAATCTATGCACGTACAGATTTGTAATCTATGCACGCACAGTATTTCAATCTATGAATGTATTGTCATCTATATCATTGTAATCTTTAAACTTACAGCATTGTAATCTATGAATGTACAGCATTGTACATCAATGTAATCTATTCATATACAGCATTATAATTTAAACGCTTATTGTATAGCTTTTTAATACTTTTCAGTTTCATTGTTCAGTGGCTGATAAGTAAGAAAAAGTATGTTATAAATAATTTAATAATATTTTGTATTTCAAAATCTAATCAAAAAACTTACTTTGGCGAAACACAGATGTAGACATAGATTGTGGTAACGATATTCCTTTGCCACCGCCTATAATATGATGTAGTAAAAAAAAAAGACTTTAGTAACATATTTTTCATATTTCCATTAGCGAATTCCTCGTGTTTTCTTATGGGGAATCGCTTACTGAAGAAAGTTTGCGTCAATTACATATTGTACCTCTTAATACTTCATGCTTAAAAAAATTAAATTCTAGCTCATAATAATAAATTTTAAAAAGTAACTGTTTCAAATATTTAGCATATTTCAGTAAAAATAAACTGTATGATTTTTCGACAGCTTATCAAGGAAACCAACCAAAAAAAGATAAATTAACCTCTACCCATGCTAGAATGTATTCCTTCAGTAACAAAAATATGTTTCAAAACATTTAGAGACAGAAAATAAATAAATAAATGATTAGGCATCAATAAGTAATACATACACCTTGAAGAAATTATGTAAAATACCAGACCATGATATTTCCCATTTGCGAGACCTTTGTTCAAATGCTTTTTAAAATTGCAAAGAAGTATACACGTATTATTTAAACACTGAATTGTCTACGGATTTTTCGTCTGCCCGATCATGACAATGAGCACACAGCGGGCGGGATCGGTCGACGGGGGATGCTTACTTCTCCTTTACACCTGATCCCATCTGTGATTTTTTTAAGAGGCCCGTGTGTGCTCTGCTCCCGATTTGTACTGCTTCAGTGGACTATTGGGCTTGATTACTGTTTGTTGTTCCATATTTAATCAAGAACATACACATAGGGTTTCACAATAAATCTAGGTACATTCCAATAAATAGGCTTTTTAAAAATCATATTTACAAATTTATACTTTCGTTTTTATATCTTATTCTTCAAGATAACTACATTTTACATCAAATCATAAAATGGTTTTCAAAACTTCCTTTATTAAAATATTTAAAATAGTGGTATTTGAAATATACATCCAATAATACTTTTTGCTTGTTTTGCAAATTCTAAATGGAGTTAAATACTCATCGTGTTTTTCATTCCTATCAAATAAATCTTTAGAAAAGAAAATCTTTACGAATCCCCGTTTATGATCATTTGTGTCTATAATTTAATACAAAAATAAACTCATAATGTTCTACATGTAGGGATACATGTAATAAATTGTAATTTCTTTTTTGATTATGATATTTAAATTTGAAAAAAAAAATCAAAAAATAGTCTCAACTATTACAAAGTCTTGCGTTCTATATTTCTGGTCCAATTACATGTACCATTTACACTGTTACTATAATTGGTCAGCAGGTTTTACACTTCATAATTTTATTACATGCCAAATTGAAAAATAGAGTTAAAGGCATAAAGAGTTTCCTCTCTCTCTCTCTCTCTCTCTCTCTCTCTCTCTCTCTCTCTAGTAACCAATCAATTTGTTTAGCTAGTTTATTTGCTTTACTTCCATTCCATCTCTTCCGTTTCACTCAAATTGGGAAGCCAACAATTACCTGTGTAAAGTTGCAGTATTAGACAATTTTTCCAAGAGCCCTTGGTCTTGATCGAAAATATTTTTATGTTCTCTGGCGTAGTTTTTCAAGTTCACCGATGCTAGCTTTTTGTGCATACTTGTCAATATCACATTACACGATAATAGTAGTATATTAAGTCACATAAACAAGTTTCATGGATGAAATCGTCATTATATATATATATATATATATATATATATATATATATATATATATATATATATATATATATATATATATATATATATATATATATATATATATATATATATATATATATATATATATATATATATATATTAGGTTAATTGTAAATCTGATAAAAGGGAGATCATTTAGAAGGCGTATGTAAATTTGTACAAAACATTGATCTCACAAGTATATAAATTACATTAAAAATATCAAAACGAACAATCCCTATCCAGAAAATATCAATGAGCAAGGGAGGTGGTAGATATAAGCTGCCATTGTACAAAACATTGATCTTCAATCCCTTGATATAAATTTACAAAATTACAATATCAAAATTAAAAATACAGAGATGAGATACATGACAGAATGACACTTGGAAAATCCCACTTACTGCAATCAAATCAGGACAAGAATGACGTAGAATCTTCACTCCATTTATCTTCTGATCATATTAAATATAAATATATATTTTTATTACAAAAATACTATTTAAATTGCATTATTTACAAAAATGCATTTTTAGTTGTTGTTGATCATATTATTAACATGGTATTAGTATGTTGTAGATAAGACAGCACAGGGGCCCTGCCGGTTGTTACAAGTTCAATTGATTGTTGTCTCTATGTCTTTACATCACTTTTCATGCCTCTGAACTCTTGAACTCTTAAAACAGGACAGGAAACATGGGAAAGGCGATTCCCTCCATTACCAAACTATTTGTCATGTTTAGCTGCTTTTAGGCGTTCACCTGTGAAATTGTTACTTAAATATTCATGTAAATGTAATACAATGCAGTGATCTTACTATGATTATTCAAACAAAAGTAAAATACTTCTAATATTTATCTAATAAAGGAATAGAGATAAAACTAAAAATCTGAAAGACAGACGATTATTAAAGTAAAGCATCACAATAAATGTGATGCTTGAAAAGTGATGCTTGATTTACAAACAGACAGAGAAGCTGATGTGATAACCAAAAACCTTTTGTATGGAGTTCTCTGTTTTATGAATAGATTTCAAAAGCCTAAGGATATTACAATTAAAACTTATTGATTGAATTATATCTCAATCCAACAAAAGTGTTGAATAACATACATACGGAGAAAGAGATAGGAGTCCAACAATTATAGTTATCTTTCTTTAATGGGCAACTCCTTTGTACAAGATATTAAGGGGAAACAATAGCAACTTTTCTGAAATATCTTCTTTTTTTAATTTTTTTTTCTTTTTGTTTTGTTTTGTTTTGTTTTGTTTGTTTGTTTTTTTGTATTCGTGAACAGGTGGTGGGACAATTTGTTAATTCACTAAGATGTTATGAATATCTTTAAGATGTGCAGTCAATATTTTAAAGCAAAAAGAAAGATGAAATACCTTATAAATAAGTTTCTAAACTATCCATGGTGTTGGTTTTCTGGTCATCGAGAAATATGCCAAGTCTGGGGAGAGATGGCACTGCCTTTATTCCAAGTCCAAGGTAATGGCATAAAAAATAGTTAAGACTACAGTGACAATTCTCAGATTTACACTCGCATTGCGACATCAATGCGACAAAAGGGTAGGGCATACTTAAACATATAACACAATAACAAATTATTTTAAGTGACCTGCAATATACATGTACTATAATAAAGATGAAAGGAAAATCCTTGTCATTATTTAACTGTATGGAAGGCATACTTCATTCATTGTGCCATAACCTTTTTAATCACAAAGACTGCTTTCTGGTAACAGCTTTTAACCAATTCTAAACTTGTCGTTTACATAATTTTTGCAGTAAAAGTGTTTAAAAAAAAGCGATTGTGAATATGTACCCGAATGACTGCACTAACTATGAACTGAACTCTTCATCATTTGGTTTTTTTAACAGACAAGAGACATGTTAAATCAGGCGTGCCGTCGGAACACAATGGGGTTTAGATTAAATTGGGAATTACTCTCCTTTTTTCGCACAAATAAATTAATTACACACACAAGTAATTCAATGTAGTCTAGATGTTAAATTACAATATGTTTTATTTCGTGGCCTAAGAAAATTCGGTCGATTATTATTTACTTTCGTTTTACTGAATAAAGTCTTTGGTCAACAAAATGGAAATAATCCTTTTTTTGTTTCAGTCGAGTGATTTTGGTATTTTTGTCTGCCTACTTTATCTTCAGTGAAAGGTTGCGTGGACATACAGAAGCCTTTTCTCTAAACTACTTCACTGAATTCTTTGTTGCTGCAAGTCGCCATGATCACATCCCTGGTCTCCCTTTCGTCTCAGATGTGGAACAGATAAATATTTTATTTTAATGATCACTAAAAAGGGATACCTTTTTAGCTAAAAGAAATATCTCTTCCACTAAGAGTTATCTCTTTTTCAGCTGAAAATGTTTAGGTTTAGAGATATCTCTTTTAACATTGATATCCCTAGAAGTTAAAAAGATATCTAAGTCTTTCTAACTCTTAGAGATATCTCTTTAGATATTAAAAAATCTACTTAGGAAGCTATTTCTCTCTAAGTTACAGAGATATCTCTTTTGGTTAAAGAGGCACCTTTTTAGATTTAAGAGATTTTTTTTAAAATAAATAGTAAAAGGAAATTTAAAAAAAAAACACACACACATACACACAAGAATTTTTTTTTGATTCGTTGGTGTTGATAACAAACGTTGATAATGAGAGCGATAAAAGAACTAATCCATCAACAATTCACAATCATCTTTGTCACTTGAACAACAAACTAATCCGAATCATTTACACTACTTTTGCATTTTGTCATCATACAACGTAATCTGTACCAAATTTTTAATTCAGAAAAATAACACATTAAAGCAACGTTTGTTTGTTTTATTATATATAAATGTAATCAATTCTTAGATAAATACATCAGAGAGACATACACTTTCACGGTATTGTAACTAAAAATTGAGAAATCTTAGTATAAAACTTCTTAATGGTCTCATTGTCCAGGTACCAACAAATGCCATCACCAAATTCTTTAGTTATTGCTTTCAAAGAAATACGGTGTCCAGTTGTCTGTTTCAAATCGAAGTATGTGACAAACTCACCAGACTCCATTACCATAGCAACGAGTTTACCACTGTAGTCCTTGAAGATAGCTACAATAATAAAAACTAGATTAATTCATTTTTCTATATATTATTATCAGAGAAGGAGGGATGTCACCTATCTCAAAATGTAACGGAGACTGTTTCAAAAGCAAATTTTAAAGCATAAATATCTCAGTGAAACTTTTGTAAGTTTGATTTAATTTATCTCATATTATGATTCTCTCATGACTTGCATTACTACAAATGAAATTTACAAAGCGTATAAAAGAACAGAAAATTACATAAAATTCCTTCTAAATTGGTCTTTGTTTCATTGAATTCTGATATGAACTGGAATCCAAGTGGTGTGTTTCTGACTGAAACTGTTGTGCCATCTATACTTGTCTGGTACACAGGTGTCTTGGAGATGTCCTCCGGATTAGCGTTAAAGGTCATGTCCTTGCCATCATTAACTGTGATATTATTGATCATCTCTGTCCCAAATCGACCGCTTATACGATAATCTGGTAACACAGAGATAGAAAATATATCTATCTTGCGGTATAATTTATTTGTATATAAAGAATATATTAAATTATTTTCTTCTTTAAAAATCGAAATGACCAATACAGTCAAAAAAATTTAATTCCTTTTAATAATGTGTCCTTGAAAATAAACAGTGTGTTAAATAATTAATCATATTCTGAACAACATGTTGCGACCTGTCAATAATTGGAATTGTCATACCTCTTCCAGGTGATGTTAATTTAACTAAAGTGTAAATCGAGTCAGACGCCATCGGTAAATCAAAGCAAAGAGGTTTCGTTAGTCCAGGTATTGCGATCCCGAAAGATGGAACCTGAGATTTCTCTGTAAATATCATAGGTAAATATCATATTAAAAAAGATCAAGCTAAATATCATCGTTATACCGTTAAACTTAAGACATATTGTTTAAATCGTAGACCTTGTATCCTTGCTTTGGTTGATGACGGGCCGGTGGTGGTTGTCTCAATGGTAACAGGGGGAAGAGTGGTTGTCTTTTTGGTGAAAGAAGGAAAGGTGCTTGTCTGTGTGGTACTGGGAGGAATAGTGCTTGTCTTTCTAGTATTGGGAGGAATAGTGCCTGTCTCTGTAGTATTGGGAGGAATAGTGCCTGTCTCTGTAGTATTGGGAGGAAGAGTGCCTGTCTCTGTAGTATTTGGAGGAATAGTGCTTGTCTCTGTAGCACTGGGAGGAATAGTGCTTGTCTCTGTGGTAACCGGAGGAATAGCAGTTGAGGTGGTGGTGGTTTTAGGTGAAACAAAAGTGGTGGTGGTGGTGGTAAACATCATAGTCATTGGAGGAAATGTTGAGAGGCTTGGACCCGTGAGACCTTGCAACACTTGATAAAGAAATGATTTACACTATGATGATACTGTTTGTTTGCCCAGAATAAATATAATTTCACAAAACGTATTTGAATATATATATATATATATATATATATATATATATATATATATATATATATATATATATATATATATATATATATATATATATATATATATATATATATAACACTTACATGGAGGAGGGGCGGCAGCCATTAAATCGAACGCATTGGATACAGGCGAATGTACTGTATTGTGCATAAAAAATATAAATATTTGAATGAAAAAGATGAAGATATCAAACAGTGATCTATCTCAAAAGATCAACAAACAATACAAATCTGTGAAGAGGGCCCTGGAAATACCAGAGACGGGATCAAGTGCCTAGGAAGAGTAAGCATCCCCTGTTGACCGGTCACACCCGCCGTGAGCCTATGTATTGATCAGGTGGAAGGAACATCCCGTAGTCAAATACAGTATAATAATAAAGGCCTAACAATTGCCTTGAAACAAGTCAGCCAAAATACGACACAATGATACATGTAGGAATATTTGCTAACAAGGTCATTATATCGACCATAGAATTTACGAAATGCTGACTTTAAACGATGTTGTTGAAATCCCTGTAACATCAACTTATCTGTCAGTAGCCTGAACAATAAATAAAGGTAAAAAAAATCATAAACTTTCAGTTTTCTTGAGAATTAAAAAATATATATGTTTAAGCAATTAAACAATAAACTGTGTGCATATAAACCCCATAGTATTTTAACTGGCGAGAAGTAAAATTCGACAGACCAGACCAGAATTCGAACCCAGGCCCCTCTGAGTCACTATTCAGGTGCTCTACATACTGAGTTATCTGCCTACCATTGCTCAAACCTGTCTGACTACCACATTCCTCCCTCCATAAAGGCTTTCTCCACTGAAGACAAAACAAAGGCGCTTCCCTGGTAGGTCACTACAGGGCGCGGTACATCACCAAATGCAACCGGACTCGACCAGGTTTTGCATACAGGCCCCTTGAATGTCTAGTGCTCTACTAACTAAACCTATCTAGCTATTGAGCTTGTCTGACCGCCACAGTATTATTTATTTTGATTCGGTTATTTTAATGTACTCACATGCTAGGGGACCAGTGCCTAAAAAAAAACATATAAATATGCGAATTACATAGTAATTAGATGATCCATTTATCCACGAGTTGATGTTTAAAATATTTTCAACAGGGTTTAATTACACAACTATCATCAATTCATGAATTCTAAATTGAATTAAATGATTGCCTTGTTGATGAATGGATATATAGATTTTGTCTTCGATTGGTGGACGGACTGATATGAATAATCATTTTGAGCAATCATTGTATCTTAACGTATATAAGCTCTGATAAAATTCTTATTCTTGTTATAAAATACCCTCAGATTCTTTTACCTTACCTCTTGCACGTTGAAAATTCGAGAATCGAAGCCTTCCTGTCATAGCAATTCCTAAACAAAATGAATCAATGTTTATATACCCTCATATTTTCCTTTTTAAGAACACGAACTCTTGACTTAAATAATTGCATAGATTAGAAGATAGCCAGGTTACATTTTGAAAGAAAATTAGGTTTATGTACTCTAATACTTTGAAACTTTACCATGATACTTAACTATGAAACTTGAAAACTTTCTTTTTGAGATGTATAGTCTTCTTACAATCTCTCAAATTCCATTTAAATATGTGAATGTACAAGTATTATTTCCTCTTGGTATCAGAAAATCTTGGGTAAGTTTTGGAATAAATGAAATATTGAAGAATGGGTGGACTTGAGGGTCCTGAAAAAAGCTGTAAATTGAAGTTTTATGTTTATTTTTTCCATAATAGTTAATCATCAATATCTTAACTGTATTCTAGCTACAGGTATGAATTTTAAACTCTCTTTAACTCCAGGAAAACCAAATAAATATCGAAGGCATGGGGCCCGAAGATTTCTTGAATATCAATAGATAATCAGGATCACACTTTTTTCATCGTCTGAATACATAGTCAGCGCATGTTTGTCGGTTGTTCTTAAGAACACTGTAGTTGTGTATTGAACAGAATAATGTCATATTAAAAGGAGTTGAGCCGACAAACGTGCGTTCATACTTAATTTTGCAAAAACATATTCAAAACAAACTTCTCGCTTCCATTGTTATAACTTTGTTAACCCTGATCAGGTCGACCTGTTAAAAGAGTGACCTTAAGGTAATTAACGTCTTACAGCCTGTTTGGTTAGTCTGCCATTCTCAGAATTTAGCAAATTAAATGATGTTATATTTTTAGTGTCCTCACAATATTAATTTACCACGGAAATCTTTTAATTTCATATAGGCATCGCTGAAACATACCATATACATCTTCGAATTTTTGTAGAGAGATAAGGAAAGAGAGATGTGGACACTGACGCCGATCGATAGCCCGCCACCTATTAATGTTGATTATGTGACCTAAAATCCACTCCAGGTACATGACAAATTCCGGACGGCAACCCAAATGTATCGTTGCTTCATTTTGATTCATGGCAACAAAGCATTGCTTTTACACTAATGTTCTACCTAATATAATCATGTTTACGAAGATCTTGCTATTGCTTTGTAAAATATTTGGATTCACTTCATTTACAGATCGATAGGGTTCGCAAAAAGACCCAAAATCGGGCGTTAAGTCCACTTATTCTTTAAATTCGTAGTGTCAGAACTTTGACTTACTAAAGGAAAAACTTTGATACTTAGATTTACTAGAGTAACAAGCATTCCGGGAGTATTACATAAGCATTACTTGTTTCTTCCGGCAAGTGTAATCTTTTCCCTCTTATAAAAATTAAAAAGGCCACAATCCATCAAAATCATTGAAGTGGAATAAAATGCAAACTTGGTCTATATCTTATTAAGGTAGACTCACATACCAAAAATCAGCTCAATATCTGCAAGCTTTTAGAAAAAAATGTGCGGAAAACTTAGTGGGACAGACTGACAGTCAGACTGAGAGACAGACAGACAGACGGACGGACAGACCAGGAGGAAACCCATACTAAGTAATCAACTTCTGTTTCACCTGTACGGGACTTAAAACTTGATAAATTGAATTACTATAGCAAAGACTTTGATACTATAGTAAAATTTACAATAGTACTTCTTGTTTTGTATTTTAAAAGGATCGAGTTTTTTTAAAGATTTGACAAAAATTGACAACCACAAAAAAACATAGAGCAGTAATTGTCGTTACTTATAAGAAGCTTATGTGGTATGTGTAGAGTGACACATACATGGGTCACTTTGTATGTCTCTGTCCTTCTCTTTGTCTGAAAAAAGTCGCACATGGCAAATAGTTCTGAACTTTCTTATTCTTACCATAGAAATATAAAATCTTTACCTTGCTGAACAGAGTTTGCAAGCTCTGATTCTGCTGGTTTCACCTCGCTGGGGTTTGCCTTTGTCTCATCCGGCAGAGTAACCACCATTGAAGTTAATGGTGTCACAAACTGATACTGTAATAGATATAACATTAAGGGACTTTCTTATCGTTGTCCTAAAAAATTTGCCAGACTTCTTAATCAAATGAAAAATAATTTTATAGCATATGCACTTGTAAGCAATCGATATTTAATTCAAGACTCTGATACTTGTAAATAGTAGTCTTACTTTCAGAGAAAGTTGTACAATTTTATCCTCTAGTTTCTTAATTTCTGTCGTAGAATCAAGTGCTTCTTTCTCCTTCAGTAGCTGTTTTATGGTCAAATATGCCCAGAGTTTCTCCATCATACCAGGATTTCTAGTAGTGACTGGTGGCGAAGGCGTCGGAAATGGAAATGGTGGAAGTGGCCATGGTAGAATGGTGCACCACATTGGAGGCACACGAAGGACTACTTCCTGGTTTTCACTTCCGGTCCCATTAACAATCATACCTGATTGTAATTTGTTCAAATCTTTTACCTTTCCTGCAACAACCATTTCCGATCCTTTGAAGTAAGTGTTAAATCTTGTGTCGGTAACTGTACTGTCATACAATGTTCCATCAACATAGTTGAATGAGACATTCTTCATTAAAACGGTTGAAATCTCCTTGTAAAATTCTGCTATCTGGAGAGCAGCATCGGCGTCTTCATAGATTTTTCTTGCAAATCCATTATTTTTTGCCGCGATTTTTTTAACAATGTTGAAGTCTGCCCCTCTTCCAAAAGCAAGGCTAAAAATGGGTAGTTCTGCTTCATTTGCTTTCTTAACATTCTCTAAGATGCGGTCTGTGTTTGTTTCGCCTACCGTGGCCTCTCCGTCAGTAAGAAAAACCAAGACCGGTGCCCGACCGTTCTCTCCTGTTGTTTGGATTAGATTTCTCAATCCTTCCCTTAATGAAAGATCTATATTGGTACCTGGAAGTTCAGATGTATATTTCGTTATATGTCTTTGAAAAAAGACAAGACGAGTCTCAAAACACTTCGTGCGGAATAATTTTTCTAATACATGTAAATAAAACACAATAGCCTTTAAATGTTGAAGTATGCATTTCAAAAAGCTGATTCTTTTTGCATTACGTTTTGAGCTATATCTAATCTATTACTTTCGTACATTGGCCCTCCTCCTGGTAGCTAATTACTTTAAACCAAACAACATATTTGATCACCATAATGGGTTACACGAGGGATTTTCCAAACAACCATCCAATTAAATTGCAGAAGGCGGAGCTAATAAATTTATTTATGTTACCTTAATTTCTTCAACGTCTTACAGAACTTTCTTATTCCCTACAGCGCGAATTACAGCTCTCTACAGAGCTAATTACAACACTCTACAGCACTAACTACAGACACGATTGTCAAATGATTTAATTTACACTACACGCTCAAACCAAAAGAGAGGTTCCGGTTAGTTGTTGATTTATACTGGCAACGTCAGGATCTGTAGATTTTAATTCTTTAAGTTCAATGTGTATAGTACAAATTCAAATCTATAAAGTATCATGTGTTTCTGTACATCTTTGATTTACCGGTAATTCAAACCCTCGGTCAATCTTTTTAAAATAGTCCACCAATAAGCTAGTCTTTTTTTCTTAAGTCGAAGGTTATGTTCAAAGTAAAGCAAAATGAATCAGCTTTGTAAAATGAATACTAAATGCTGTCAAGCTTTGATTTATAACAAATGTCAAAAATGGGAATCATTTCTAAGAGAATTTGTGCGACTAACCTCCACTGGCGTCAGTTTGTCTTATATAATCTTTTGCATCAGTTATGTTTCCAGCTGTTGCCTGAACAAATTCGGGTTTCCAGTACAACAAAGAAGAGTCAAATGCAATGATCATAATTCTGTCTTCTGCCTTGACGTCATCTAAGATCTTCAGCATGGATTCTTGAAGCTGTCTCATTTTAGTTCCACTCATAGAGCCACTCTTATCCAGGACGAACACAATATCCATTGGCATCGGTTCAATTCCTTCGGGTGCCAGGAAATGCACAAAATAACCATCCATTACCTTTGAACACAGAGTAAAACTCGTAAAAGAGCTATATATTTCATATTTTTTTATTTGTGGATATCTGTCCCATTCTCTTTTCAGCAAGGTTTTTTTTAATTCATTCTTACGTTCGTTAATTTATAACTGCATGTTTCCTTAACTTTTGTTGACAATTTCCGTAAATACTCTCGTGTGCTTTTTGGCGAATTTTGCATCAAAGATATAATCATAACAGGGAAATAAGTCGATATTGTATCACTTTTTGCAAAATATGAATTTTGATTTACCAAAATATCCCCTGCATTGTCACTTCTGTCCACATCATACTGGACAATAAACTGGCCAGAGACCCCAGACTCTTGCTCAGCTCTGGACGGCTGGTATGAAATAAAGACTTTCGTTGAATTAATGCGATCAACTACAGCAAGCTCATTTGTACCTAAAACAAAAAAGCAAAATATGTTAAAAACGCTGAATTATTTTTTAATTTTTTTTAAATGAAAACTGTTTAAGCACTGCAAAAGTGCAAGTTGCAAAGGATGACCTTGCCATAATTATTTAAAATTCATTTAACTATTGTATGACATCATTTATTATTTGGCTTTTATCTCGCTTTTATCCATTTATTAGCAACGCCTCCTGACTGGTATAATGAAAACCATATTAAGGCCCAAAGAAATATATAGTTCAAATGTCACGTGAGATTAAATGCGATTATGAAGCTATAACCCCGAATTTTACTTATGAATAAATATTGATACATCATGCAAATATTTGTATGGAAGTTTTACCTTCAGGATCTTCTGTAAGAAGATCACTTCTTATTGGTGGGATCTTGATAGTTGTGATGTTCCTTGACTCCTTGATTAGGACGTTGATTTTCAAATCGTCGACCACTCGTCCGGGATTGATGTAAATAACATGGTTGTATAGGCCTTTAGTTCGTCTGAGAAGTTCCCGGTATGTTAACTCGAACGTCACTTTTTCTTGGGCCGCCACATTGACTTGGATTTGAAACTTGTTTGTTTCTCTAGGTCTTTGAAATTGAATTTGTTCTATATGTTCACTCTAGTGTGAATATGAGATATTTAATCATTTTATACTATTTTTGTTTTTAAAGAGAGAGCGCTATGATGTAGGAAATTTATAAATACATTCAGTTATCAATCTGACCTTTTTTATTTCTACATTTATGCGATAGTTATTTTATTTTTGAATTATAAGTCATAAATAAAAATGAAGTGTAATAATTATCATTCTTACTTGGCTACAATATGACCTGCACTCTGCCCCTTTGCTTTCGCAGCCTCAAATTCCTGTTTGGCCTTCTCTTTTTCTTTTACTTTTCCATGAATTTCTGAGCCATTTATTGTCCTTGAATAACAATATAAACAGACGTATTTTAGTTTGTTTTTTATCGTATATTTCACTATAAAATCAGGTAGTATTAATTTTTACATTTAAAATATTTTAAATGGTATTTTGAATGGTAAATTACAATTCAAAATTTTATACGTTGTATTGTCATACTCAATTTACAATTTGAATGCAGTGATGAAAGCCTCGTTTGGAAGTGTAAGATCGAACACAGCTTCACTAGCAACTGGTTCCTTATTGACAACTTTACTGGTTACCACAGTCTTAGCAAACCGGAAGTCGATTTCTGACGTCACATGGAGGTAATATATCTAAACATGAATATTGACAAAAGGTTGAAAGTATTAAGGTCTACAATAATTTTTCTATTCAGTTAGAAAATGTCTGCTTTTGGAGAAACTTTTTTAAAATAATCAGTTCATTCACATTTCATAAGACAAGATATATTTGGACATGTAATAATTTGGTATGTAGACGCAAAATACACGGCATTTCATTGACTTTTTGAATTTACTTCTGAATTTTACTTACCTAAAATGTACGCTGTTATTTATCAAAATATATTCAAAATTAATTCAAACATAAAATGGGGGTTTTAAACGAGAGGAGGTTCCGGTAAATTGCTGCAATTGAAATATTGTTGGTGCACAATTATGTCAGAAAGCACTTTTTTTTAAGAAAAAATCTTAAAAGTGACAGAGTTCTCATTGTATTAGTACTGTAAAAGTAGAATGTATCTCGGTGGTTTTAATTGCACTATGTCAGCGATCAAAAATGATCCATGAACTTTAAATCATCGTGAATATTGTCGATATATCCATATAGCATTCATTTGTCAAATGACGTGTTTTACAGTTTAAAATCCTGTTTTCTATTTTGAAATAGTAAATCATAGAAATTCATTAGAAAACCCGAGGTTAATAACATTAGTTAAAAATAATCTACCATAATTTTCGTTGTTTTCGATGAATAATCTTTAAAATTGTAAATATTCAATAGTGAGAAAATTAGAGCGAAGTTAAAACTACAATGAATGTATGAACTTAGAAAGTGTAAAATATAAAATAATGAAAATTAAAGACGTTATTTGAATGACAAAATTTCAGTGTCAAATTATTTCAAGAATTATTTTAATTCAATAAATATCGAAGTCTCCTTTGTAAAAGTCAGAAAGGTTTAGACCGTTTTCATAAGTTTCTTCTTATCTCGAAAAAAAAAATTCAGTTTTACTTGGCACAAAAATTTAAATCGTAGGAAATCTAGTTAAATCCTACCTCTGGTGTTTTCGTTGTCTGTGACGAAGCAAAACCCAACAACAGTATTCCGAAAGCCACGGTTGTCTGAATTACTCCCATTTTGCAAGAGTAAAACTGACGTTCTGCAAAACAAGTTCGATTATATCTAGATAAAGATTTTGCGTATTCAACTGCTTTTGTATAAAAGAGACAGTTGTTTTGTGGAAAAACCCGCGGACATTCTGTGACGTTTCAATATATCATACTAAGAGAAAATGTCATTTATTATTTTCGCTTAGGTAGGCTTGTTTACCATAGGTTTATATTTTGTTTTTAAAAATGCATACAGATCTATGATGAATGATTTATGTTGAAATCTTCATTTCTTTAATAAGTAGTAATATTTTTTTCTTTTTTCTTTAGAAGGATACATTTATATGCAAAAAATGCCTTTTTGAAGTCAAAATTTTGGATTTCAACGTGACCTTGGTTATTTCGTTTATCGACCAACTCCAATTTATTTTTTTTAAGCAATGTGAAGGTGAAAATGTTATTCATCATGCCTTTCCTTTAAAGTGAAATAAACATAATTAAGTGACCTCTTGACTTATTCATGATAATTGCAAATTAACATTATCATGCAACGCTTGTATGAGCCTTACAGATACAGGTAATTCCTTTACACAAGCAGTATATTTTTTATTACTCTTTTATTACCATATGAATGGAGCTGTACCAGTATTTTAACAATTGTTCTTCTGTGTAAACAAATCTTCACCTCTCACCCATCTCCTATTACTTTCCTTTTCAAGAATAACCCTCAACCCACCCCTCCACAAGGCACCATGAAACGTCTTAAAACAGATCTCTTTATCATTCATTAAATTGTTTCGGTGTATAAATGGTAGTATTTCTTTGTAAAAATGACAGTGTCTTTTCTACCACAAATGTTCAATGAAGTTTCACTTTTTGCTGAATTCCCTCCGTCAAGTGTGTTCATGTTCATTAAAGGGTTGTTACCGACTTTCAAAAATTTTAGAAATTTCAGACACTAAAACTTTCGGAATCTGAAAAAAATTATAAAAGCATAATAAAGGCTTTTTCGAAAAATTGAAACTCGAGAGCACTGCATAATTATATAGCTTTTTTTCCCTGTTGGTAATACTTTTCCCTGTTGGTAATACTTTTATCTTTGTTGAATTTATCAGACTTAATTATGAATATACAAATTAAAATTGTCGAACTCCCATTGAAGCTTTTAAGGATTAAGGATTATACAACTATTTTAAAACAATCTTTTATTCGTGTGTGAGAAATATCCGGTAGTTTCTCGTCTTTGTTATGGCGTAACTGTTTACAATTTCACTACCGATTACTTGATCAATAAAGTGGGCTTACAGCGTGTGTGATCGGTCGACAGGGAATACTTACTTCTCCTGGGCACCTAATCCCACTTCGGTCGATTAGAAAGGTCGGTGTTTTTGTGTTCTTTACTGGATTCGTGAGGTTGATAGTTTTTTTTATTATCTTCATTACTTTACATCCTGTGCTCATAATAGTGAAAAAAGAGAGTGTAACAGGTCCACTACATTTTTATCTTAGCTAAAACTCTTCTTTAAACTTGAATTTTTGCAAATGTAACACATGTACATGGAAATACGAAAAAAAAAATGCCCATTTTAACCATAACTGCAATCATTCAAATTGTCATGCATTTTATTTTAAATGCTCCAGGGCTTAACGTGTGATGCAATAATTTTGATACGAAATAACAAATGTTAGAAAACATTTTTCAAACGATGATGATGAAAAGTAATTGCAACTGATGGCTTTTCCCTTCGCACAGCATAATAAATATGCACAGTAGCATCTGTTCTGTTTTATCATAAGTCGTTGAAATGAATTACTATGCATGTTGATTTCTGGATCAGGAAATTTAGGGGCTTGAAGAACCTACATCAACCATTCACTGAATTAATAACAAAATTACTGATACATGTATTTCTTTTATAAGGTCATAATGATCAACTTTGGATCGAGTCAAGCCCTCTTCACCAGACACATCAGCGGTAAATGTTTCATTTAATGAAATGTTTTATACTTTGCAGATACTGCATATTTTTTTTAATTGAAATCTTTTAGACCAATTTACTCCTATGTGTGTGAGAAAGTGGGTGTGTAGATGTGTGTTTTTGTTCAATTATTTCTTGTTGAAGTAGGAATACTTGGTCACGGAATACTTATTACAATTCTATGAATCTTAGCTGATGTGACCTAAGGATTCTACTTGATTTCTAAAAGTCTTTGCATTCGCAAAGGCCATGGTATACTCTTAATCCCACTTGAGTTAAGGTCAGCTTTAACGAACGAATATTTTTCCGATATACTACATGTACATGTATATGTACATGTATATTCTAAATTGACAATTCATATTTGAATTCGGTCACTTAGATTTTTCAACAGGTGTTTCATGACTATTTCAGCCTCATATCTGAGTATTTCCACTCGTGTGCTGCTCTCTTTCTTTCTCTTTCTTCTGTCTAATAAAAAAAGTTTAATTTCACTAATTCTTGTTTTCTCAAGATCTTATTGTTAAAAAATCTAAAGACTAAAACGGAGAAAAACATAAATTGTACTTAAACAAAAGAGGTTATTGGTATTTCCAGAAGGTTTTCAGTCCATTTCAACAAACTTGAAGATTGATGATTTTCTCTTTTTTTAAAAAAAAGTCAGAGTGTTTTGACGAGAAAAAGAAGAAGCAAAGTATTTTTTGAAAGAATTTTTCTTAAGATTCGTCCGTTAAGCTCTTTTGAATTTATGATTTTCTGTTCAAAAAAAATATTTGAAGCATTTCCTAACGCACGTTCGAATAGAGAGTGTGCCAGAACCAGTGAATAAAAATAATTAGAATCACAAGGATTTGTATGCTAATTTGGATCGTTTGACACATAGATCATCATTACGGTAAACCGTCATGATCAAGAATAGTTTATAGTATGCTGCAAAACACACCACTGTCAAAAACACTTAGAATAAGTTTTCAACTCATTTAATAAGAAGTATATAAGAACTGATTTAAGTATTTCAGTAACCACATGTTTTCACTGGTTATACATGTATATTAACAATCAATCAATTTTATTTGATCTACATTGTAGTTCATATGAGAGCTTAAGTGTATTCTTTGATATTTTATTTTTTACCAACACCAGTTACAGCTTTATGGCTGGTCATACATGGTCAAACTTGACAGATTTGAACAGATAGTACATATATCACTATTAAATGCATTTGATTCGGAAATTTCGATAATTTACATAATAAACCGCAAGTACAAAAGGGCTAATTAGAACATTTCAACGTTGTTTATTTTCTGATCTAAACTTTCTGTTTTGCATTGCGATTGTTCAATTTTCTGCTTTGCATTGCGATTGTTCAATTTTCTGCTTTGCATTGCGATTGTTCAACTTTCTCTGGATTTCTGTTTTCTGTAATTTTCCAAATGTACCCACCATTTGTATAATAATTACTAAAATTACTGATTAGTAAAAATCATGATTGCAAATATTAGCGTCGTAAGAATAACAGTCAAAATATAACTAACAAAAAGGAATCGGTCAAGAATTTTGGAAAACTCTTGATGCGTCATTGATGTATGTGACTCCACGTCTTCATCTTCAAATCCAACAACCGATTTCCCAATCTTTGGCGGAAGTTTGTTTGGTTCTCCTATTGCCGTCACTGAATCAGAGTTTTTCTTTTTACAGCAATTTCCGCCACATGAAATTATAGCCATGAAGCGACCAATCCGAGCCAAGCATGCAGGAACGGTCTCGTCGCCCTTGTGGTAGGTGGCAATTACAAGGATAACGAATGCAACAGAGAGAACACCCAGCGCAAGAACGATAACCAAGTAAACAGCTGAAACGAAATGGAATAAAAGAACATTAGTAATGCATGTATGAATTATCTCCTGAAGGGTATACACTACATGTAAAATAGAGAGTTCTTATATGGAAAGGTAAATGTTTTACTTCTTAAAGAATTTGTTCTTCAGGCCCGTAGGAAGCAAATTCATGCCCTGTTCACACGGAGAGTTTAATTCGCAGTAAATTAATGCGAAGTAAAATGATGCGAATTAAACTAATGCGAATTAAATTGCGTTCACACGACAGCTAATGCAAAGTAAACTAATGCGAATCATAATTTTTTTATTCAACAAGGCTATTCAGTGAGGCTATTATGACGTCATTTACAAATCACGTCATATTTTGCAGAGTAGTATACATTTGACATAGTGTCTGTACTCGTTTTAGTGATTAACATAATTTTCCTTTGTTTTCCACTCAAAAATAGCACAGGTACCTATATTTGACCATTGACATGTGGCCTGTGACTTAATTCTGCCCTTACGCGTGCGTCAAAATTTAATTCGAATTAGCTTCGCTTAGCGTTCACACGGAGCTAATGCGAAGTAATTTAATGCGCAGTAAACTAATTCGAATTAAATTAATTCGCATTAAATTCTTCGTGTGAACGCGGATCAAATTTAATTCGCAGTAACTTACGTTTAATTCGAATTAAACTCTTCGTGTGAACAGGGCATTAGTTTGGGGGGCACAGCCATACATTTTAAGTTGACAGTTGAGGGGGCACTACCAAAAAAAAATTCCTGACAAGCAAAAAAAAAAAGGTCATCAACTGCCAAAAATTCCTTTACAAGCAAAAAAAAAAAAAAGAGGTCATCAGACCTTTTTAATGAGGGGTCACAAGCATATAGTATCTATGTATGTTTACTATAGTAATCTATATAGCGGCAAAATTATTGGGTATTTAGGGCCCCCCCCCCGGTTCTTACGGCCATGCTCTTCATGATCTAAAATGTTTTTATTACCCAGCAAAGGATTTTATGTCACCCGCTCAAACAATATAAATATGGAGCTTAGCGAGCTCTATAGACTAACCTGAAAGAACAGAGGAAATTCGAGATGAAATATTCCACATTTGTCAATTAAATTTTTGTGTAAAACCTGCGCATAATTCTTTTGCTATCGCGATTCCATTCGATAATGGCGAGTGCGGCGGTGGTAGTACCACAGTTATCGTGAAGAATTAGAGCTTAAAGTACACAAAAAATAATTGCGTCTACTTTAAATCGTATGTTTTTCGTTAAAAAGTTTGCACTTTTTTAGACTTCGTTAGAGTGCAGCAAGCAAATGAAGTCATGCAACGTCACAGACTAGACTGTATCTTGTAGAGTTTGAAGGAGCGCATCAAAGTTAAAAGCATAAGCTGTGTAAAGGTATTTGATAGTGCAACTGCGTTTGCCCCGACGATAGCACCGTAAAAGATAGTAGCCCTTAAAATCATGCGGAAAAAAATGACAATGCGACACACAGTAAACACAGGCAACGGTTCACTGAAAAGAGCTAGGTCCACTTTATGCATAAAATGGCCCTGTCCTTATATCAATTAATTGACTATCACCCCCTGTCCCATTTCATATATCAAATTAAAGTAGAGACTTAGCGCTCTCATTTTCTACAACAAAATTTCTTTTTGAGAATCCAGGTATTGGAAAACCGGCTTTGAAAAATGCAGTGTTCTTGAATTTTGCAGAAAACATGCATATTTCACTACCTCCAGCAAAGAAATAAAATATGACTACAGCCCACGATCCAAAAATTAAAACATGTTTTGCGATTTTCAGAAACAGATCTTTCATTATGTAATTGCATATTTTGGATCAGAGGTTGTGCTCTATATGAAATATTGAAAAAATACCTCAACGTTTGGCCTTTTTTTAAGGGAATTTACAGGAAATGGGGAAAATGACGCATTTTATGACGTCATAATGCATGGACAAGAGAGAAAATTACGTCATGTTCAATAGATACACGGTCACCAAGGGTCCAAGTTATAAATGCTGCATTTTCAACGAAAACTTAGCAGTTTCGATTTTTCAGAAATTCTCAGGGTCAAAAAAGGCCCTAAGTGGCTCTTGCTCTTTGTTACATTATTTGCAATTTGCACAAGGACAATTAAGATATGTGAATTCATTAATAAATACACTAAGGTAACCACGCCTACACTAACGGTCTCACGCTCGAACATATTATTTTTAATAAAGCACATTTCAATTGGCAACTGAGCTCTTTGACAATTTGCAAATATTTCTTCAGATATTGTTTATGGACAAAAAAGAGGATTTTCAGTTTTGCAAGTTTGATTAATTCTAGTGAAATCCTGCAGTACGGACTGAATTCTATATCTTATATCTCCATATATATTTCCTTTTCTATTATATTCATCAAATTTTATCCACAGTTCGAAGGAGAAAAAAAGAACTACGTTTCTTGCAAACGGTGCATCAATGAAAGTTGACTTCGGAAATTGTGCGCTGAATTAAAGAGAATTTTAAAATGAACGGAATATTTTAATTTATCAATAAGTCAAATTCTTACTGAGGTAGCAGACGGACACAGAGGTACTGGGAATATTGTCTGAAATCAGGGTCAAGTAAACAGCATAAGCCAGCAATACGGTAAGAGAGTATCCGATTTTCTCTCCGGAGTCCACCGGGAGTTTAAATACCATTGGAATAAGGAACGCCATTAGAGCCACTGGAACCATAGTGTTGAGAGCATGAAACATAGGTCTTCTCTTTAACGTAATACTGAACGTGAGACTCGAAAATGTTTGTCCACCACGAGACATCTCTTTAGTATTTTCTCCCGCTGCATCTGTGAGCAACCATTCTCCATTTTCACTGTAAAAACTCATGTCAACCGCTGGATTGTCAAATTGAAGACTGATTTCGTTGCTTGTGTAGCCCCACGTGCTGACTTTGATAGTACATGTTTGCTCGTCAAGCGGGTAGTAGGTTATGTCGCAGCTACAGGCCACAAGGTATATTCCCGCTGGATTCCACGTGATATATCCAGTACTCATTATCCTCATGGGAATGTTCTTATCGCTGATTACAGAAATGTCTTGTACTCTACAAAAAACCAAAGATTTAGATAGTCAATTATACGTTTATATTCAAGATCCTGCATTTAATAAGAGGGAATAAACAATAATAGGATGATTGCTAATATTGGTGTCAACTGCTTCATGGTGTGAAAACAATTGATAATGGAGATGAATATAGCGAATCCTCTCCCATATTATTTATTTCTGTTTTCTTCACATGATATGCATTTATATAAGATAAGTTTTAATCTGATCTGAAGGCCGTCGGAAGGGCGAGTGTATTGAGTGCAAACAATACTAAACAATACATGTATAATGTTTTTAAAAATAAATTCGGCCAATTGGCTACAGGAGCATCCTGATGGATATGAAGAGACATACAAAAGTAGCTGGGAACCAACACTAATGAGATGATTATCACTGTTGACAATCCTCATCCCCATCCTGAGTATGTACCAAGGTAGGGGGGGGGGACACACAATGAGGGATGGTCTCGACTGAGGACATTGGCAGTGTTTGCAGAAATTCCATCAGTACTGTACGTAAGCAACATAACTGGAACTACCAGTGTTCGATGGGAAAGACTTGCTGACAACCAAGTATAGATTAGTGACATCTGAAAAGATACATGGAGGATAAGGAAGACTGACACAAGGTTATGAAGGGTTGTTACCCCAACTCACAGTCCCTGTGAAGGGACACCATACCAATCTACAACAAAGAGTAAAGTAATTCACCCACAAGGTCTTCCGAGAGGGGGAGGGTGCAAGCAGGATGTAACAGTAACTATTCGACTAGTTCGTACAACGGACTTTAACGGGAACAATGACATAAACCCAGTGTGGCACTGAGAAGGTTTGCAGATATTGAAAGGTTTAAGGATATACTAGGCAAGAATTAAGTGCAGATATGGGAAGAATCAGACGAAAAGCACAGTAACACTGATGAGACTATGGAGGACCACAACAAGGAAGAACAGTGTTGAGGACCTCTTACCTAATGAGGCCACTCACATGTACATTGAGGAAGAGCAGTTATCACAGGCAAGAAATTACAACTGCAGAGCCTTCAACAGGCAGCAGGAAACAAAGAATACAATGGCCAACAACAGATTATTAGAGATGGGAGATCTTTGATGAGGACCATGATAAGATATTAGATACCACACTAACTGGAAACTGTGCAGTATCATCAATCATAGACGCAGTTGAACAAGAACGATTTGGAGTAAGTTACAACAAAGGAGAGAAAGTACTCATAGCACTAGCAAACTTAACCGGCGCCATAAATAAGGACGATAAGAGCAGAGATAAATACAGTACGGTCACGAGGCAGTACAGTGTGGCAAGCATGAAAGGGGACTCAATGACATACGATCAATATTAAGGGAGAAAAGAAACAACTTTCAAAGGGCAGAAAGAACTAGGAAAGCCAGAAGAGAAAGAGGGAAAAAGAGAGCAATGTTTGTTGCCAACCCATACAAGTTTATAAAAACAACAATGGATGGGACAAAGGCAGGCTCATTACAAAGCTCAGAGGGTGAAGTGAAATAACATCTCACAGAAACACACAGAAATTGTATTTGAAAGGCAATATGAATATTTAAGAATCTGCGAAAGAAAAGAGCGTGTGCCAAAACCAGATACACTAAGGAACCATTATGGAAAGAAGTGGTAAATGTAGTGAAGAAGGCTAGATATGCATCTGCATTTGGACCAAACGGGATTTCATGCAGAGTTTACAAGAAATGCCCAAAGATTCTAAAACATCTGTGGAGGCTTTTAAAAGTTGTCTGGAGGAAGGGGAAAATACAATCATGATGGAAAGATCTTCTTTACTATGGCTAGCATTTCTAGAGGGATGACATAATAATATATGACAGATAACAATAAATAACAGATACATCTGTACATAACGTTGGAGTACAAGGATTCTCAGAATGTATTGAACCTACAGGCATCCTTTCGCATCTGATTCAAGAAACAAACGTAAAAAAGAAAGATCTTAAATTATAGTGGTCAGAGCTGGTCATGACCTATGGATCTATTCCAAACATGTTGATTCATGAATTACTGAACCATTACCATATTCCAGAATACTTCAGAGAATCATAAAGGGTTATTTAAATGGGAATGAGCAGCGGCTCATAACAAAGGCATTTACGATAGTATGACAAAAATTACAAAAAGGAATAGTGACGAGATATATAACTCTGTTATCTTGATTAACATAGGGATGAACATGATAATAAAAGCTGGAAAGAGAGAAATTAGAGGCTCAAAGACCTCAACCAACATAAGGAAATCACTTAGTAGAGGTTCATGGATGATCTATTCATCACTATAGATGCCCATATCCAGACTAGATGGATACTTAATGCATTGGAAGAGGTGTCATGGCAAGAATGGCTTTCAGGCCAAGAAAATCAAGATCACTGAAAATAAAGAAATAGATGATCACACACCAGTTCAAACTGAAGATGCAAGCAGAAGTCATCCCATTCATAATTGACAATCCCAGAGAAGTGATCAGAGAAGTGGTTCTGTGATTCATTAAGTGGCCAATTGTAAACAATATCAGAAAAATTGAACAGTAAGTGTCAGAGGGGATGCGGAACAGGTCTACCGAGACGGGTCTACCAAGGAAGAGCAGAATTCCTGCCAAGAATAGCATAGCCACATATGTCATACGAAATTACTTTGACAACAGTCGAAAGGCTGGAAAGAACAATAAATAAACACATTAGAAAATAGTTTGGAGTTCCACCAAGTTTTACATTACATTACAGCAGAAGCGCCAAGTTGCGGCTACCATTAATGTTAATAGTGGAAGAATTCAAATTGGAAAACGTACGACTTTGGAAGATTCTAATGATGAGAAAGTAAGAGCAGCAAATGTACAAGTAAGAACAGGACAAAAGTGTTCAGCATCCAAAGCAGTTCAAACACACAGTCAGAACAACGGCAGTAGGAATGTAAGAGCTAGGAGCAATAAAAAGCTACTACTGGCAAAATGCTGCTGACACTCAAGAAAAACGAAGCCTGGTACAATAAGAGATTGAAAGAAGAGAATAAGAGGGCATACAGGCAAAGACAATTGAGTTAGTGAGCCAAGGTACATGATCAAGATGGGAATTGGAGTAACCATTACTTGCATGGTCAAAAGTATGGTTTTATCTACATTTCTAACTACAATTCTTTCTTACATCAGTTATGATGTGTTGCCAACACCTTCGAATCTTCATAGGTGGAACATGGCAAAAGCATCAGATTGCCCATGGAACGCTGTAATAAATACTATCAAAATGCAACCTTGCTCTTCCACAGGGAAGATATACATGGCGACATAATCAGGTCCTCCCAAAGTTAGCAGAGGTAATGAGAGACAGTGGAAAGAAGTTAGAAACAAGATAATAATTAACATTCAGTTTTTTTTTAATTTTGAAGGAGGAGAATCAAGTGTTAAAATAGAACAAAAGCTGTCAGTACTATTGAACCACGCCAGAGATTGGCAGTGAGAGGTATACTAGTATCTAGGCAAGAAGCTGCAGTTTCCTGACATTGTACCAAAAAATTTCAGATCCGATATGGTTTTCTGGTCGCCAGGAAGCAAGAAAATAGTTAACATAGAGTTGACAATTCCATGGGAGGAGAGGTGTGAAGAAGCCAATGTGAGAGAAGGGGTAAATCTTGAAGAAGACGGCGGAGTGCTAAGACAGAGGATGACAGACTTGGAGCTTCCTGTTGAAGTTGGCTGCAGAGACTTCCCTGCACAGTAAGTATGGGGGTCGTTCTCTGCATTAGGAGTGACTGACCGATGTAGCAGGAGTAGCAGTACAAAAATGGACCAGGCGGCAGAGAAAGCATCCTGCTGGATATGAATGACGAGAGACAGTAGTAGCTGGAAACAGATGCGCAGTTACTGATCACCACCATGGTGAGTGTACCAAAAGTGTACCAAATTAGGGGTTGGAACATTCAATGAGAGATGGCCTGGGCTGAGGACATCTGCAGTGTTTGCAGTAATTCCACCAGTACTGCATGTATTATTTATCTCTTTAAAGTGAATATAATGGTTGAATGAAAACAAAAAAATCACTATTTATCTCTTGAAGTTAATAATACTTTGTTCATTTCAAATGTTTAGAAATGACTTCAAAATGCACCAGAGCCCAACAAAATGGTACCAATTTATTACAAAATAGGATTTAAGGACGGGACCCTCCCCCACACACCTCTTTTTGCGACGGCCCTGTTAGGCATTTCTAGTAAACAACCTACATACACAGTTAAATGATAAAATCTCCGTTTTTATAGATCCATCAGCGATATCTTTGATGGGAATACAGTGTGTAAACTACTGTTTGCTTAATATAGAATGAGTTTTATAGCACTCTATTCCATGTACATGTAAAGATGTCAAATTTCATCAAAGCCATGCTTCGTTTTGGAGTATTTTGACAATGGTTTATGTGTGGGCTACCAAAATCATTTTCCAGTTTAAATTTGATATTATTATATTCAAATTTGAAGAAAAAATTCTAAACTTGACACATGTATATATAGCTGTGTTCTAGAACTTACGAATTCTCTATTATGATAGCTGGGCGCCATACATAAGTCTCGGTACTGAACAGAAATCTGATATTAGTGTAGTCTTGAGAGGTGGCCGAGGTATTGTCCCAAGAAAGTCTTTCGTCAAACCAACTCTGGAATAAATCATCAAATTATTCTCACGAATAAATTGTAAACTGTCATTTAAGGACGTTCGATCCTGAGCTTTTGAGGAGATTTTGGTCAGGACCTTTATTTCTAAAATTCTGCATCATTTTTATGTTCTAACATTGAATCTGGATTCTACAATGCAAATTAAACTATATCCAATGAAAAAAACCGCGATGAAATTCCTTTAAAATAGGATTAAGCCAGGAACTATATTTTGTGGCGGAAGGTTTTTTAGAAGAAAATGATCAATTTTTTCCCTTTTGAAATATATACAGTACTGTTAAGTTTAGATTACTATTTTTCCATGCTGGTTGCACATAGAGCTGTTTTTTGCAGTGAAATGTTTTATGCTGGCTCTGAAATATCTAATAAATTATTTCTTATGAATTCTTTCATTATATTGTGACAAATATAGTAAATATATTCTGAAAGTCCAGGAAGAAATTGAGCCAATTTTAACATAAAATTAACACTTTTTTAGTAATATCTAAAAATTTAGATCATAGACCCCCACTTTTGTTTTTCTTTCCTGAATATATAGGATAACTTTGATCAATCTGCTTAAATTCAGCAAAAGTTTAAGACTTTAAAATAATTTTCTTGCTTTTTAAATTTTTAATGCCAGAAAAATCACATTTTGTGAGTACAGAAAGGTCAAATAATTCATTATGCGAAGCAATTTGAAACTTTTTCTTAGTCACAATTTTAATGCGTCTTTTTTTAAATAGACTAATAGTTTATTTTGTCCCATGATTTATTTGGATAAAAACTTTGGAGGGAAAACGTCGAAGATGTGATTTTTGATTAAGACACAAATATCAGTGCAAAAAGGTCAAATTAAATGTATTGTAGCGCCGAAAGAAGCATATTGACCCCCATTTTTTGTTTTGGTTTTTAATTAAGCTATGTGTGTAGAAACTAAAAATATACTTGACAAAAAAAGTTTAAGACTTTAAATATCAGGATCCAACCTCGTTAAATTCACTTGCAGTTCTCAGAATTACAAGAATCATAACCTTTAATTACAAAATGATTACTAGTCTCACAAAAAGAAATCACCATATTAAGGAAGCTCTAAACACTGTTCATCAAAGAGTTCTAATTTCACAGTAGTTTTATGTAGAAATTGATGTTATTTGCATGCATTTTCTCAATGTACGTAAACAACAGTAATTTTTTTCACTACTGCTTCATTGTCTTTGAACATCTTTCCTGAAGAAATATGGCAGATAAAGTATGTTGTAAATGAACTAGATAAACTTTAAATGTACAGATTTTGTAATACAATTTTCTCAAAGTCCGAAAAACAATTCTCATTGGTGTTTAGATCTTCCTTAAGATATTTGTCTATTGTCAATACATTTTTTCTTATGACTCTTTCCAAAATAGTGATAACTCATACCTTAAGTTTCTTAACGTTAAAGCTCCTTTTCTTTGTTAATTGGCATTATACCCCATTATCATACTGGTACACGACTTTCATATCTTTCTTTATATTTTAAGCGTCAAAGTTTTTTTGAAATTTCCTGAATTAATTAACACTTAATTTGTTTCAGAAAACTTGGTTCAGATAGCGAATGCTGACTACTTGAATTGAAGAAAGTGTGTGATTGTTACTTTTCTTCAATTTTTAAAACCTCCCCCCCCCCCCCCCATTCATGTTTTAACTGTCTATTCAAAAAAAAAATGTTGATGTTCATATCAAAATGTGTGCTATGCATAGTTGAACATTAATTAGATAGTCCTTAGCTGCTGTTCAGAACTTCTGTGATTTTGCACATATCAAAATGTAACATCTATCAACTTATCATTTACTAGCTGTCACAAAAGAGTCTCATTTCATAAGGTTCTAAAATGCACATTTCAAATGTGAAATACAAATCAATGTGTTCAATTCCTCCCATTCCCTACATACATACATATATACCTTTTTCATAAATACAAATCATTATATTTAACACGCACACGTTGTACTGATTAAAAGGACATTTCTCACCAGTGATAGATATCCGGACACGGACATAACTTGGTTCTTTATGTCCTGTGGAGAAAAAAAGAGATAATTGAAAAAGCAAATTTTGAACCATTACAAAGAGTGCAAACATGAACGGTATATGTTGATTTTATGTATAATACATCGTTTGTGTACTTTTTGGGATATTTACCTAGATCACAATCGTATTATTTGTTTTATAGTTATTGAAACTTGTTGTTGGAACCCAAGCAATCAACTGTACACAGAGGTTAATTGTTACTGCAAACTCAGGTCCTTCCAAAGTGTCAGATATTTATACATGGAAAAAAATGCTGTTAAAATACAGTTCTATGAAGATCTTTTTTACGCCAACGTATAGAAATTATATTTTGATAACATTAAAGGCCTTCATGAAATGATAAATAGTCCTCAATGAGATTTTTTTTACATACTTCTTTACCTGAATTTTGCATGTTACTTCTAATATTAATCATACAATAAGAACAAACGTGCAAAGAGGATGTCTGCATGACATACATGAGTGAAACAGATTTTCAAAGTATTATATATCACCAACACAGCTCTACCAGAGGGCCTGGCCCCAGGGGGCACGACTTTCACAAACTGAACATGTTAGCTGATTATTATAATCAATAATGCAAATATTCTGATTGCTAGATGACCATGATTATATGGGGAGTTATTGTGATGGTTTTCTCTCCATGTCTTATGCCCAGGGCTGGGACTATGTAATTCACAATTTTTATTCCCGTTAATACATCACACATGTAGATGCTACATACGAAAGTTGGTTGAAAGTCATTTTTACAATTTTAGAGAAAATGCTAAAAAATGGAAGCCCAATTTTTTTTCATTATGCATAATTTTGTCCTGAGAGTGTGTAAGGTTATAATGTTTTCATAGCTTGCTTAAAAAGATCCAAAAATTTGCTATTGCCCAGTCCGAAGTACTATAAATCACCTTTTATTCGCGGGAACTTTATTTTGGCGTAATAACAAGAGACAGTGTGATCGCAAAAATTTCATTCTCGCGTATAATAGTAATCCTTAAGGTTATATAGAGCAATAACCACAATTCGTAAAAAATTTGTCTCGCTAATAAAGAGACATTGACTATCTTGCGAAAATAAGGTGTCGCGAAAAATTTAGTGATCTACAGTATTTTCTTACCAGGTCATTGACGGTGAGTACTGTTAAAGAGACTTTGACACTCATCCTCTCCTGGGGTCTCTGTAATTCAGAATATGACCCCAGGGTGAACAGCTCATTACGAAGGGATGTTTCCAAGCTCCTGGAATATGACGGTTTGGTGGAAGTCCCGGGACCGGAGCCGCCTGGCGCGCAGTTGACGGCAACGATAAAGCAGAAACCTGAATGGATTGAAAATATTTTGGTGAGTGAAAGAAATGTATCCTTTCAAAAGATTTCAAATAACAGGTTCATAGGAGAACGAGTATCAACATACTTTTTTTATTATTTTTTTTTTATTACATCGAATCCGAAAGAAATATCTTATAAAATACAATTTCTAATACGCTGAAATAAACATAAATGCAAATTTAATCTTAATTGATGTTGAACGTAGTTTTTTATCCATTAAAAATCTGCTATAGAACAAAATATGGAATAATTTCAATAGATCATGATTTTTACCGAATATAACTGAAAAGGAAATGGCGAACATTGATACATAAAAAAGTGATAAAATGCTTTGCTAAAATATGTAAACTCCAACGGATTTTTGTTAGGTGATTATCTTTAATCTAGTTTGCTTTCAATTTTTACTTAATGTATTATATTTTATATTTGAGAACATGACCAAATGGTACTGCATTCCATGTATGATGTCATGTATGCAATAAAAAAAAATCTTACGAAGTCAACGGACTTTTGTTAAATGTCAGTATGTAAAATCTAAAATCGTGATAAGGTCTTTATTCTGTTTGGAGTACAGCTTTCTTCCGTTAAAGACACAAACAGGGGTGATTAAGAGATTCTCCGAAGCTGTTCAATATTTAAGTCAAACCTTAGCAAGTGTATTGAAGTTAAAGATTTAAACCCTTTCTTATCATAAATCATTATTTGTCTAAAAGCTGCATTATAGAGACATTTATTGTGAAATAAGTCAGCAAATATTTGGAATTAGGACTGTCCATAATCATTTGTTTCTAAAGAGAAAAATAAGAACAATTAAAGCAGACTTTGTGAAAAGTATATGTTTATATTTGTGCTTTCTTGAAGACAAGTACTTGAATCAATTTTTTTCATCCAGCTATGGACCAATTGTTTAATTTTTATATTTCTGAAAGAAAACCTATTCTAATGGATAAACATATGGGTCATTGACAGTCCGTTTTTCAGAAAACATTCTCACAGTCTTTCTCTGCAAATTCATATATATATATATATATATATATATATATATATATATATATATATATATATATATATATATATATATATATATATATATTATCGAAAAATTATAATATAAGTTCTGCAAAATTGAACTCGAACATGTTCTTTTTATAAGATGGAGAAATATTTTTTTCATATTTCAAGAAATTATTTACTCGAACATGTTTTTTTTTCTAAGAAGGAGAAATATTTTTTTTCATATTTCAAGAAATTATTTACTTTTTTCCGTTGCAGGTAATATTTTAAGTATATTTGGAAAATTTCAATTAAAAACCGCGTTTGATTTCAAGAATTTGAAGAAAATAATCAGTTATTTGTCATCCAAAATCTATACAACATCCATTTTATCATACTTTCGGTGGAATATGCCAGTATTTCTTTTCCATTAGACTTTATTACGTAGAACAATTTTATAAAATAAGAATTCGTAACGCAAGTATCATTTTTCAGTTGAATTAATTAATAATTAGATTATCAGTGTAAATAATTGACTCTAATTCCTTAATAGAATTATTCGATAATTGGCATGGAAAATCTCATCATAAGTTAAAATAATTTCAGAATAATATTCAGGGACACTTAAAAATATGCTTTGTAACAAACAAAAAGTTTTATCTTCATTTTTCATGATTTTTAAACATGTTTAAAAAATCATTTTAACATATGTCTCTATTTTTAGGTTCATTTTAAAACTACGCCAGTAAATTTAATTGAACTGAATTCGTTAGATTTTGATCACAAGCAGACTAGGATTTTTGTCTGCATACATGGTCACGAACTCGTACACTCTTAACAATATAAATTTCTTTTAAAATGTTAATTTAAAATATAATTGTTCAACTCTGTATACATGTATTTTAATGTTAGACTTGTGATGTTAATTTGAGTGATTTTATTCATTTTCGACTGAATATAAGGTATTTTTTGTAATAATTCGGCTGAATTTTTAAAATGTATTTATTATCTGTAGTCTTCAATATTTTATATTGTTTTCAGAGATTTAGCAGCTCATTTACTTTATGAGTATTGCAGAATCTGTGTCAATTCTTTGTCGAGTGATTTTAAAACTTTGTCACGATTTTTACCCAAATAATCGTTGATGGCATTGTTTGAACACCAAACAAGTCAAATAATAAGGTAAAAACGTCCTTTTCTTTTCAAGCAAAACAAAAATGGCATATTATACTAAAGATAATTTCAAAATAGTTTGGTTTTTATGCTTTATAGCGTATACAATAGGCTAAATAACTCAAAATTGACTTCTAAATTGGTTTGATTTTACACAAAAAACTGCTTTGAATAAATAACGAATCATCGAAACTAAAAGAAAGTCAATAAAATTGCTGTATTGTGTTATTTCGACGTTCATAAAATTAACAGTTTTTGTTTTTGAACATATATTTTATTGTAATTATAAATACAAAGGGATTGGGCACCAAGTTCTTAAAACTTATAACATCGATATCCTTCCCAAACAAATACATGACAAATTTAAACTAAGTTACTAGCAGTTAATTACATAAATATAAGATATACTAATGTTTACAGATGATAATGCACTTTATACATGGATTTTTTGACATAACCATAATATGTATTATCATTAACAGGCAAATCTGCCAGAATGTTTAATAAGATTTTGAACAAAGAGAGAAAAGTCGTTCATTTCGAAAATTGATACAGGTATATATATTTCTTGTATCCAAGAGATAAAGCTCGAATATATCAATATGACCAATTATTGTTGTCTATCCAGCCGAATAATTCAATTTACTCAGTCTTTCAAAATAATGTGAACACCTTTTCCTCATTTTTTTAAATTGTATTTTGAGTTTTATATTTAATTTACTTTATATATAAATGATTAAATATGATTTCCAGCTATATCTTGATGTATAAACGATTTCTTATCATTTCCTTTTGCTTTCCTATTTTTTTTTCCATTGAAATATAAAATTTGGTGATATGAAGTAATCATAACATCATATTATATAATTATATTTTAAAACCAAATTTGTGGGAAAATATTTTTCTATCAAACGGAATATTTCCCAATCGTTATCGTTTTTACAATTCAAACTTTTTATTAGATATAAAGCAAAATTTATGAATGGCGATGGAATTTCCTTGAAATAAAACAAAACGTTTGCCTACCTATACATAACTGAATAGTCCTCTTCATCATACACCATAAGTCAAATTCACTCTCACGGATCCATGATCTGCTTCCGCTGCAAAGGGTTTAAATGGAAAGGTTATTTGAAGAAGTTCGTATTTGTTTTTGAACCTGTGTATTTAAACTATTGTCTCTTTAAATACCCACTATATTGTCTGCTTCAATAATAATCTCTAACTTACATCCATTCTAACATTTTTTTTTTCTGTTCATATACCTGTGGATCTGTGTTGTCGCACTCTTCTACTTTCTGAAAGCATCTTTTGAATGAAAAAAATATCAATATTCTGTTTATTACATTTGGTTTATGTTTGGAATCTTAATTACACTGTGTCAACAGATTCTATTTTGTTACTAATCCGCTTACGAAAATCAGAAATTAAATATTTCAAAATGTCATAATTGAAATGCAGTAGATGTTATGTTACGGTATTATGAAGAAATGTACTCCAACGCCAGGTTCATTAATTTTCATGAATAAGATATCCGTCTCTCCTATACAAGTTTTTCTACCCACGATAGATGCTCTCCATTAATCTAATATTAATTAAATGTTCGTATACTGCATTAAAATGCAAAATTAAGTCATCTGATTCAGTGAATAAGATATGTCTACAGGTTATCTGAACTATTACGTTATTTTAGGACATGCAAGCACATGAATAACTCATTTGTTAAAATAATTATGATAATCAACGTATAAGTAAATCCATTGCTTTTGAATGAGTCTTTATTCGTACTTTTTCTACGACCTGTAAAATATAGTATTTTTATTTTAATTAACTAAGCATCTTCGTTACTACTTTGAGGTTGACATATATTTCTATTTTTTTACTAATGTAATTATGTAGTAGGTCTTCAATTATCATTCAATATCTAAACTACTAATGTGTATCCAACTTTTTTTGCGTTAGAGGTCTTTTGTTCATCAATAGAAAAATTACCTTGTGTGAATGCCCAAATGATGTTAAACTAATTTAAGTTCCATTGTATTAATTGATTTGAAATTATCGAGGTTGTTGTAGACCTTTGTAGCGTGTGATATGAACTTGTATGATTTTAAGTAACTTAATAAAAACTACACGTAATTTAGAAATGTTCATGATGATCATGTTGATTTTTCTCTTTATTATGTTCTTAATTCCTCTTCAATATTTGGTCTCATCTCAGCGCGCACACTGTAATAACTTTAAAATAATGAAAATAAATACATTGTTCTGAAGGGAAGAAATTTAAAATTCTAAATTTACTATTGTTGTGAAAAGGTGTTTAAATGTCTGCTCCGTTCTCACGCTGTCTCTTTTCAGTCGTTAGTATACTTGTTTGACCTCCTGTTTGGAAAAAAATTGTACCGCAAATTTTCTGTTATCTGATTTGGATATCATCAAGCTTTTAGGATGTTTTAGAAATATATATATGTATTTGGTGTTCTTTGGCACTCTTGAATATATACAGTTTTGACTCTAAGCTTTGGATTCTTTACTTAAGTTTCAAAGTTATATTGTCAGGAATTGAGTAATTGAAAAAAAAAAACTAAATTGTAATTGAGTGAAATTTGTTACATTTTTCAAAGTAATAGGAAGTAATTTGTAATTGACCATTTTTTTTTCAATTACTTGTAATTGTAATTTAATTTATTACACTGAGAAATACCATGTAATTTCAATTACTTTTCAATTACATTTCTATTACTTGATATGAAACATAATATACATGTACGTACAGTGTATTTGGGAAATATTACCACTTATACGAGCCTGGTCTCGGATAAGTGAGTTTATTTCAGTAACCCTAGTAATATTTATCTATTCCGGAAAAGTTACGTGCATTCGGATAAATATAAATTTTCACCCTTAGTCACAAGCTACCATTCCGGATAATTTAGGTCCATTTGTATATAGTCTAATAATAAGTTCTTTTCTACCTCCTTTCTAGAAGAATCGATTAAACGGTAAGGTCATGGAAAATTTTTGGGAGTTAAATTGTGGCAATGTTTTAAATTTTTTAAATCAAATAAGTTTGATTTTTAGTATAACTATTGAGGTTTGTAGTTTCAAAGCAAATTAGACGTATCGATGGCGAAGTTTGACTTTGGAATTGGCCTGATTGGACTTTTTTCGTAAATTGAATATTTTACGCGATATTGTAATTTGTGAGACTTTACAGGTAACAGGAATATATTAAGATCAGTTTGGGGGTCAAATGATTGTTTAACTTGAGTTATTTTTTTTTTAGGAGCGAAATGTTAAACTTCGAGTCCATCATAGCTATAACGGGGGGGGGGGGGGGGGATAATTTTATAAAACACGGAATATTCTCAGAAGCCGGGCTTACTAGAAGGATTTTAGTTTGTTTTCTACATAGATTTATCGTGCTCGAAGGAGGTATATTGATTCGCATTTTACAAACTGTAATCGTCGTTAATTCGGAGAAAGCATTCACGAGAATTTGTGCACTTTCACTTTTTGAAGTAATCAAAGTACTGTGTGTACTGAGAGGAGGTTTATTAAATGGTGTAAGTGTTATGCTCTATTTGCAGACTTGTATCATTTCATTTGTTTGTTTGTTTACATAGAGCATGTTAACAAGAAAACAAAAAGGTGTAAGGTTTTATGGATGATATTGTATGAACTGATTTTCCTATTACATAATGGGATAGGAGTTAACTTGTATATTATGTTACACAACATATGGGAGCTCATTTGGTCCACATGGTCAATTTCTGCATAAAAATCCAACTAATGAAAGCAAAATCACAGTTTATTGAAATAGGATGAAAACATTTCTTATTAATTTTGCAAGCATTTGTCTCACAATGAGCAGTCAAACCGCAGCAAAGCTGTGGAAAAGTATTCTTCATATGCATTAGGATAGGTAGGCAAATTTGCAGGGTTCAGGCACAAGCAAGGAGCAAATTATATTGGTACAAAAGGCAGTAAGTACATAAAAAACCTTAAGTAATTGATAGTGATTACAGATGTATGTTACCATGATCATTTATTTTCAGGTACATTACCAAAAACAGGTCAACATTTTTAATTTTATTTTTTTAAGACAGCTTTATCAATGAGTCAACAGCTGCAATGGGCACAACATTCCTTTCCATCAAAGCATGACCTTATCACTTACCCAGTAATTCATTAGAACAGTAATTAAAGATTTGCAAAAAAGAAACAAGTAGGAAATGTTGCAGTTGTGCTAATACTAGATATAAAAGTGGAATTGGCAAATGATATAGATCCTAATCCAGCTTCAATTAATCGCAGCTATTAGATTACATTCTAGGGAAAAGTATAATTTGGTTAAGCGAGTCTTTGTGTGAAAGGGGGGGGCATATTTCAAATAAACTGGTAATTTTAAAAAGATGGTCAAAATCAAATTGGTTCCTCGTCTCCTTCGGATGGACTTTTCTGATATTTAGTTAAGCTATTAGAGCACTGTCATAGGCAGATTAATAAAAGTGATTGGTCAGGAGTCTCACTAGGATAAGCAGCACCCAGTACTTGCTCCGTATGTTGCTTATCAGGCTATCTTTGAATGGATAGTCTGCTAATGTGTTTGACAAGACGGGGAAACAAAGCTTGTCAAATAATCAGTTAAATTATATATGAATCAATTATTATTATCATTTAAAGATTTAATAGGTTGATATGAAATTGCAATATTGAATTTACTAGTATATAAGGAAAGTCAAAACCAAGGAGTTAATAATGTGTTGTCAAAACAATATTGATCCATTTACTTAAGGTACACTGACATTCAATTTTAAGCTAATCTGGTAAGGGATATCCAAGATATGCCCAGAAGTATGCTTTATCAAGTATACCAGTTATTTCCACCGCACATTTCCATGGACAAAGAGTTGCAACGTACTGAAGAATTTGTTTTCTCGGATATTTTATTGTGTTTATCTGTTTTATTGCGCACCTATGTCAGTGTCTAATGGGGATTTAAGCCTTGAGACTAATTTTATCATTCTGTTTAATTATTACCAAATACATGTATAATTGTGTGTAATACACAATGGTCCACGATTATACCTAAATTTCCCAGAGATAAAACTACTCCCTTACAGATATTTTTTTGAATATTCAGAACACTTAGTATCGCAATTACCTCGAATTGTATAACTTACTGCGGCTGTTTTGCAATAAAGTCAAGAAACTTATAACTCTCATAAGTCTCCATTCATTTTCGGGGGATAACATGTTGTTTACATATATTGTTTACGCTAGTGACAATTGAATGATACGAACAATAAGTATGCCGAAGGTACAAAGTAATGCCGATGGTTGCAATTCAGAAAGCAAGTCAAAGTATTCGGAATATTTAGACTTCCAAAATAACGTTTATCAGAGAGAAAATGATTAAACTTATTATTAGAATAGTCTACTTAGCGGGAAATATCCACAAAAAATTAACACAAGAGAGTTAGCATTTTAATTTCATAGCGTGGTGCAACGAACATTTAGCTAGGTATTTCACCAGGGCTTCTTTCTTATAAATGTCCCTTAAAAATCTGCAGTGATCGATCTCATAGTGTAGTCAATAGCTATAGCACATTGTCCTCAGCTATTAATCAACGTTTCCTACCTTCAACGCAAAAGAGTTTCATTACGTTTTAAGTAATAGCGATGTAAAGTATTCTTCCTTTTGTTTGCAATAGGTTAATCTACCCTTATGGCACGAGGTTATATAAAACTAAAATTAGTCGTACGTTAAAACATTTAATAGGTGATGATTAAATTAATAAGTCTTGGCAGTTATTTTTAATTAAAACAGTTTAACGATTCGAATGTAGTTGCAAGTACTTCCATGACCAGTCATAAAAGGTGACCGTGTTTATCCTTTTTTCAGGGAAACTTTGAGCAGGTTTAGTCAGTATTGGATACGGCATATCATGCCCATACGTTTATTATTTGTAGAATACAAAATTTAAATCTCATTCACTACAATTAGGGAGCAACCGCTAAAGCACATTTGCCACCAACTTGCAGGGGGGTTATTTTAGCTTTGAAACGCTGGCTATAAAATGTACATGTTTAGGCATCCATTAAGTAGTTGTTACAAGGCTCACATATTTTTACTTCTTTCATTTCAATGATTTATTTTTTTTTTTTAAATTTTACTATGGAGTATAGTTGTTTGATAAATTGTGAAGAGGGAATATGATTTATGCAGCTGGGGAAATGAGAGGGGGGGGGGGGGGTTAAGGACACAAATATTGTTTTAAAAGTATTCTAAGTTGAGAGGTGACGTAAATATCTCGTTTTTGTTCTCTTTGGGTCTGATACACTCCACACTTTTTAGTACAACTATAACCAATACTTGCAAAGATAGTTTAAAATTTTATAAAAGCCATAAAAATGCGTAACAGGAGTAACAGCCTAGTAGGTAAGTAATACGATAAAATAAACCAACGGGACAGGGAATAGAGTGCAGGTAGGATCCACAATTTTAGATTAAACGGGGAGTTGTTTTATTCTCACAAGTCCATAATTGCATTTCAACACATTTCATAAAACAATTATAACGGAATAGGTGAATGACCGTTGACGATTTAAATTCATATTTTGTTTTAATGCATTGAATAGTAATTGACTAATAAGTCACTTGTTTTATAAGTTGTATTGGTGAATGGGCAGGCCCTGGTCGACGGTGACCATTTGCGTTGAGGTACTGCCGCCGTCACCATGGTTCTTGGCACCCCCATTGGTGGCGGTTGCAGTTCCATGCTTACTCGTGGTAGACACGAGTATTCATGGCCCTTGCAAGTGGCGTATTCCGTCGCACCTCAACGCAACTGGAGGAGTGCAACACATATTCTTACGCTCATTCCATTGTTTATCCTATTGCACATGTAAATTGAAATTCAGGATTTGAATTTGTGCATTGGCTTGTAATTGACAAGCAGTTGACTTGATTGATATTGAATTGATTGATTGAATGATGATTGATTGATTGAACTTGATTGATTATTGATTTATTGATTGAACTTGATTTATAATTGAATTGGTGACGTTCATGCACTTGTGACCTACCCAGTGCATGATCCGCCCGATTTGGGTCGTCACATTTGTTGTATTGATTGTTGATTGTGGGGCAGCCCTGTGGTAGCCCCAGCAAATTGACCACCGCGGCCAGAAGCGCCAAATTAAACAAGCAAAATAATATCTGTTGTTTGTTTGATTAATAGGGAATCTGCAATAATACCACTTATACGAGCCTGGTCTCGGATAAGTGAGTTTATTTCAGTAACCCTAGTAATATTTATCTATTCCGGAAAAGTTACGTGCATTCGGATAAATATAAATTTTCACCCTTAGTCACAAGCTACCATTCCGGATAATTTAGGTCCATTTGTATATAGTCTAAGAATAAGTTCTTTTCTACCTCCTTTCTAGAAGAATCGATTAAACGGTAAGGTCATGGAAAAATTTTGGGAGTTAAATTGTGGCAATGTTTTAAATTTTACCCACCCACCCTCCTCTTGTTTTTAGAACAAATACTGCTGCTTTTTGTTATGTCATTGTAGCTGAAGACTGCCTGCTTCGCCCAGCTTCCACAACAGCTTATGTCGCGGTGGTGGATTATGTGTGTTCGGTATTTCCTGTACGTAGGGACGGCTTGCTTGGTCCAGCACCTACATCAGCCTATGTGCCGATGGTGAATTTTGTGTGTTTGCTCATTGCGTAAATACAGCCTGATTGGTCCAGCGTCCACATCAGCCTATGTCAAGGTGGTGAATTCTGTGTGTTTACGTATACCGTGATGACTGCCTGCTGGATACAGCGTCCAATTCAACCGATGTCGCGGTGGTAATTCTGTGTGTTTGCGTATTCCGTCGCACCTCAACGCAACTGGAGGAGTGCAACACATATTCTTACGCTCATTCCATTGTTTATCCTATTGCACATGTAAATTGAAATTCAGGATTTGAATTTGTGCATTGGCTTGTAATTGACAAGCAGTTGACTTGATTGATATTGAATTGATTGATTGAATGATGATTGATTGATTGAACTTGATTGATTATTGATTTATTGATTGAACTTGATTTATAATTGAATTGGTGACGTTCATGCACTTGTGACCTACCCAGTGCATGATCCGCCCGATTTGGGTCGTCACATTTGTTGTATTGATTGTTGATTGTGGGGCAGCCCTGTGGTAGCCCCAGCAAATTGACCACCGCGGCCAGAAGCGCCAAATTAAACAAGCAAAATAATATCTGTTGTTTGTTTGATTAATAGGGAATCTGCAATAATTCCACCATAGTCTCATTTCCAGTTCTTTTTATTCATTTAAAACTTCCTCAGCCCTTCTGTTTTCAAAATCATAAACGTGTTTACAATCTAATAAATGAATTCAGTATCGTATTTGCTTATTTATAATCATATGTTGATTTATAATCGTAATGCACATATTGAATAAATACAAGTTTAATCTAAAATTGGGTTATATCCTTCCATGATAGAGTCATGAAACATTACAATTCATCAAATTTAAAGAATAGGAAATATAGTTAATGTGTCATTAAGGCCCTCCCTTCACAACACAGCTGTAAAACTATCAAAACAGTCCTCCAAAGTTTTTTTTCTTATATACCATGCTTTGTTTAACTCCAAAGATATGGCGATTGGAGATGATTTAAGAATAATTATTATTTATTTATAAACTTTAAAAAAGAAATCTTTATTGAATCATCTTTAAAAATCTAAACAGATCTTTATAAATGCATTTAGTATCTAAAATAGTTATTGTATAATACAAGTGTTATTTATTATATGAAAATTGTCATTTGCAATTTAAGGTGTTAAGCTTACCTACAAAGGAAATAATCTGAGAGTATTTTACGTTAAGAAGTGAAAAAAGAATTAGAAAGATTACACGATCAGTATGAACTGGTCCCAGCTGACAAACCAGGTAACAAAATTGTCTTCCTGTTTGTATGGCTCATTATTTAAATTGTATATTAGAGGACCTTTGGTTTAATTCTACAAGTGGTAATCCAACTTATACCAATAGCTCCCTTTCTAAGGAGGAAATTCTTCAAAATCATATGTCAGTTTTGAATATTTTTAATATTCCCAACAACCAATATGAATTTGAATTATTATATCTACATTGGATTCCGACACTTCATAAAAATCCTTACAAACAAAGATACATAGCGGGTTCTACCAATCCTCTTTCTTTACTCCTCACTAAAATATTAACAGTAGTGAAGGAGAAACTTCAGAAGTGCTTTGCAACAATATATTCTAGAAGTGGTGTGAATCAGATGTGGATGCTTAAAAATTCCAAGGAACTTTTGGAAAATTTGAAATCACAAAATTTTACCAAAATCAACAACATAAAAACTTACGACTTTTCAACTTTGTATACAACCATTCCCCACGATAAATTAAAATCCAGGCTTTTCGATATCATTGACAGGTGCTTTTTCAATGAAAATGGAACTCGTAAATTACTTACCTTGTCATTGGTCATTTACAAAATTCTTTTGTTAAAAAACATTCTGATTGTACACACAAGTACTCTGAAGTTGATATTAAAAAGATGCTTGAGTTTCTGATTGACAATATCTATGTGGTTTTTGGAGACGAGGTCTTCCAACAATCTATTGGAATTCCAATGGGTACGAATTGCACTCCTTTATTAGCAGACCTATTTTTGTATTCATATGAAGCAGAATTTGTTCAAAATCATACTTGAAAAGAAGAAAGCACTTGTTGTGGCCTTCAACTCGACATTTAAATATATTGACGACGTATTGTCAATTAACAATGGTTATTTCCATTCTTATGTCGATACGATATATCCCAGTGAGCTTGAAATAAAAGATACCACAGAGTCTGACACATCTGTTTCATATTTGGATATTTTACTAGAAAAAGACGTTAATGGTAATCTTACAACCAAACTTTATGATAAACGTGATGAATTTAACTTTTCAATCGTCAACTTCCCTTAGTTATACAGCAATATACCTTCATCACCTGCATACGGGGTTTATATCTCTCAGTTGATTCGATACGCAAGAGCATGCTCTACGAACAAACAATTTCTAAAACGAGGTAAATTACTGACAAACAAGTTGATGAAACAAGAATATCAGCAATTTCGTTTTAAGTCGTCATTTCGTAAGTTCTATGGTCGATACAATGACCTTGTCAGCAAATACAGTTTATCATTAAGTCAAATGCTGACTGACGTTTTTCATTCTAATTGTAAGGCCATTATTTTTACACTGATTTGTCGACGAATTTTTCCGTTATTTCCCGATCATGACAAGGCGCACTCGGCGGGTGTGACCGGTCGGCAGGGGATGCTCACCCCCACGACACCTGATCCCAGCTCTGATGTTTTAGAGGTCCGTGTTTGCTATGCTCCAAAATCTCCATATATTTCATTCATTAACTCTTGGAAAGTCGCTTATGATAAAATTTCATAAAGGCAGTCGATTAATATTGATAAACATGTATATGTAGGTTTGTGTTGATGAAACACACTAAAATCATAGGCATCTGATGTTATTTATTATAACAAATAAAATTACCAAGTACTTAATATTATAATGTATTTGTTCTTCATATTTTTTTCAAAATTAAACTAAAGTAATTGAAATATGTTTAATTACATTCTTCAAAGTATTTGATATATTACATTTCTAAAAATCAATGTTATTATAATATTGCAAGTAATTGGCAAAATTGTCAATGTATTTGAAAGTATTTTATTACATTTACGAAGTAATTGAAGCCAATCCTGTATATACAGTGTAGTATATATGTATTCCATGTTCTTTGGAAGTTTTGAATATGTATGGTTTTACCTCAGAATTACAAACTCATGATTTTAAATGATTAAAATGATTTAATCATTCTGGTTGTTATAATGATTCCATGTCCCACATTCCGTTAAATAAAGAAATAATGGAATTTTCAAATACAAAATTCATTCATTGTGATGAAATTGGTAGAACTTAGTAAAACACAAGAATTTTTTTTTTTTTTTTTTTTTTTTTTTTTTTTTTTTTTTTTTTTTTTGATTTTAAGTTATTTTCTTAATCTCATAGAGTAATTGTAGATTTTTAAACAAATGAATGTTAAATGTTTTTTCTTCTCAAATAAAATGATTTATTCATCTATGCAAAACATGTATGTTTGATTTTTTTTTTCCCAAAAAATATGCAAATGTATTTGGCTTTGGAGAATGGAGTGCAGTTGTCTATAACCTTTATGTCAGAAAGTAGATAACAGATAATGCTAAACTTGATAATAATTTAATAGGAGAGTGCCTTATCTATTCTATAATATACTACTTCTGATGTGTAAAAATAAAATGAAATCGGCACATACACTAAGACGATTTCTTTGCACAAAAAATGTGTACTTCAACCACCAGGTAATTCCGACACGATGTTTGCATACATCTCGGTTTTCAATTACGACACCCTGTACAAATGTGGCAGAACTCATAATGAGAGATTTTGGACAGTTTTCTAACAAAACAGCATTGGTGAGTAGATCTTTAGAGTCAGTTCAATAATCACACTTCTTTTGCTCCATGTACATGAATATAACAGCGTATACTGTGGGTCTAGGAATATTAAAAAGGGGGGAAATTACGGGGTTTGGCGGGAAAATGCTATTGTGGATTGTATTTCAATGTTGCATATTCCATAGGACCTTTGGAGTTCCCTATGGATTTGCATGTTAAAATAGCAATAAATAAGAATTTGTGGTTATACATATTAACACAGTAACATTTTTAACAAAACAAATATAAGTTACTGACATTACCTAGAAAGTCAGACTTGAGCATCAAATGAGTTAGTACTGCAACTTCAAACTTATTTCTTTTAAGTTCAGATAATAGAACTTTAAAGTGTACAGGTAAAGGTAGATGAGGACAGTGATACACACATCCTCATTGAGGTGTTAGAGGAGTATATTAGATATAACTGCTTGATTTTTTTTCAATTTTTTTTTAATTTATCAAATAAGCACGTTTATAGTACTTGCTAATGAGACTTTATTAATGAAAAACGGCAAATATCAGCTGTTGTCTTTACCTTCCATATCAGACATAAACAGTTATTGGTTTTTATTTATTTTTCTTTATTTAGATTGACGGAAAATCAGGTGAAACTATATCATTTTGTGAATTGGAAAATGACGTCATAAGATATGCAGATTTCTTCCGGAGGGTGGGTATAAGAAGCGGTGACGTCGTGTGTATATGTGGATCTAACACAATGGAATTCGCCCACGTATTCCTGGCTGCAACCGGAATTGGTGCCGCTGTTACAATAGCGAATGGGCAACTTACGTCACGTAATGATTTAATTAAAATTTAAGTAATACTTTTTAAAGAAAACCTATTACATTCCTTTCCACTAGATATTGTGACATTTTCCTTTCAATTTCTAGTTTTGAATTAGCATCTTCAAAGTGTCATTATGGAACTGGTACATGAATGGTTTTATTTTCCTTAAATATTCAAACGTACTCGGAATTTGCACATAATACATTACTAATGAAATTAAGATACATGTATTTTGAATGAAAATAATGTGCTTGTTTTTCTTCATTTATCTAGTTGAGTTATCAGACCAGATAAAGATTTCAAAAGCAAAGTTTGTATTTGCCACTGAGGACACTTTTAGGAAATGTCAAGAGGCACTACAACTGACTAATAATAGCGAAGTAATCACATCTGCTTTGAAAAATGCAATTAGTGTGGATTAAATGAAAATGAAAATATTAAAAAGTTAAAAACATTTTTTAATTCCAATTTAGAACGTATTCCAGATCGACCATGGGAAACTTTCAACAATGCTTTCGAGTTCAATCCATGTCGATAGGTCCGCTTTTCTTAATTATGACGTCAGCGATGACGATGTAGCTTTGGTGCCCTTTTCCAGTGGAACTACAGGATTGCCCAAAGGTGTAGAACTTACCCACGGCAATCTAACAGCTCAGCTGAGTCAAATAAGGTAATCCACAAACACATCATCACAAGAATGACACATTTCAGTGTTAGAATTCAAAGAGAGTAAGATGAACATGGATACTTTCATTCAACATCAATGCAGGATTATTTCATCAAGTTCCGAAAAAATACACTATTTAAAAATGTTTTACCTAGGTACGCCAATGATAATATTTATTATTTACCATTTCAGGCATCCAACTGTATTACCCTTAACTCCTGGAGATGACCGAGTGATTACGATGCTCCCTATGGTTCACATTGCTGGACTAATGATCGGTTTACTCAATCCTCTGGCTCAAGGCGCCACGGTCGTCATACTACCTAAGTTTGTACCTGAGGATTTTCTTCATGCCGTTGAGAAGTACAAGGTGTGGTTCAAAATTTTAAAGAAAAATAATCTTGAGCATTAATTGTGAAAAGGTATATACCGATAAGATAACACGCTCTACATTCAAGGATCTGACAGGAACTGTGTCAAATTACAGGGGACATTTTCACTACTTGCTCCCCCCGTGGTAAATTTCCTCGCCAATGATCCTATGGTAGATAAATACGACTTGTCAAGTCTTCGAGACCCATACAGTGGAGCCTCAACTTTGGGCAAAGAACTGACAAAGAAAATGGTACATCGATTAAAATTGGACGGTATTAGGCAAGGTATAAAATATATAAGTATATCCCATATTCCTCAATAATGTTATTTTAAGTAATTCAACTGATGGTACCATCGACAACACATTTTTATCATAACCTTACAGAATACTAGTACTTTAACTGCATTAAGTGAAAAGTACTCTGACGGACCCCTCGCACGTGTTTATTCTACGTTATGTAATTGTAGGATATGGAATGTCCGAAACAAGTCCTGTTGTAATGACTGATCCACCAGGAAACAAACAATATGGATCTATTGGACGCCCAATTCCTGCAACCACGACAAAGGTACAAAGTTCTTTGTAGACTCAGGAGGAGGGGGGCTAAACGTAAGAAATTTCGTTGTTCCACCTACCTATGCTACAACCATCTGCAATATAGTGCTAAGCATTAGGAGTGAATTCAAAAGTAATGACCGGCAAGTTTGAAAATTTGGGGAAAATTCAACTTATGACATTTTTTTTCAAATATAACATCATACTATATATACATTCTAGTTAAATTTCCAAAGTAACAATAAAATAGACAAATGCATAAAAAATGTTTCAGAATTTCAACAGAACGTTTGAAAAATGAAAACACGTGTATTGCTACATCCTTCAAGACTTTCTGATTTAATTATATTCAAGAGAATTATTTTTTTCCATTAGAATTATGCCAGAGATATAAATTATTAAATTTAAAACTTGATTGAGTTTCTTCTCTTCTTTTCATCATTCAAAGGAATTAATTTCATAATTCTAGCATTCTCATAGAAATTTACTTCCCTATTATATACAAGATAGTAAATGCTAAGTATATACCTAACGAAAAAAAAATGGACAGAATTTAAACGGTTTTCAGCAGAATGATAATTTTCTGGACTTTTTATTTGTGGGGTTTCTTTCTGATCTGTGGTGTTAAAAAGACAAGGCGCACACGGACACTAAAAATAGGGGGGGGGGGGGACTATTCTGTAAATTGACTGTAAATGTTAAAATGCCAAGCATTTTCTGCAATTTAAATGTATTTTGTTGTAAAGAGATATGGTAATTATAGAGCATTTTTATTGCTTTTATCAACATCAATTTGTAATGAAATTGTACAGTATTTGAAGTCCAATGGTTCACGGTTATAAAGCATAAATTTTTTTAACATGGCTTGGTGTCATGAATTATTCCCATGGACACAAAATTGACCGATTTCAGAGAGATATATTATTTATTAAGAAAACCTGCTTAGAAAATTTCTTAAAAGGTTTATCTGAAAATTCAGGCGTGTTTGATTGTCATACATCCTTGCACTTTCATGAACTTGACATATTTCTAAAAATTCAAGGAAAATGGGAATTCTGAAGTGTGTTAATAAAAGATATTATAACCATAACGAAAAAAATTCTTTAAAAAAAAATAAAAGAAATATAAGAAAGCAAAACCACCGAACCAGTGTTGTCAGTTTGTGGTCAGTGATGTGATTAATATCAGCTAATCGAACACACCCGGTAAAACGTACACATGAACAATAGCAGAGCTCGGGTCAATGTTTACAAACACAGGTGTTTGGTGTAAGGTTATAATAAATGCCGTTGTCATCTACTATGAAGAATTTTCATGTTAGTTCAAATCATTAAACTGAAGTTATTTTTCAAATAAAAATAGAAAGCTGTAAATAAAACAGAAAAGCAAGCGTGCCTATGCCCCTTTAATGTCATCAAGTTAACTAAATACATGTAATTGATTTACAATATAAAAGTACTTTTTATAGGACATTTTACTTCATTGGATAAATACGTACTCTTAGTATATGAGGTAAACTAGAAACGGTCTATTCAACAATTTGGTTCTATTTATACATTATGCCACAGAAATTTATTTACATAACCTGTAACTTTAGTGCAGGTTGATAATTATGTGTCCGGTCATTTTTTTCAATTCACCCTTAAACGGGTTCTCATCAGATTTTTTTTATTATTTTGAAAAAAAAATTGTATTCATGCATAAAAACTGCTTACAGCTATATCCTTACTGAGTAAATAAGCTATCAAAATAAATTTTACTTGTGACTTTAATAATATTTTTTTTTGTTTGAAGCTTGTTGATCCCAACTCAGGGGATGATCTTACCAAACCTGGGGAACATGGGGAAATTTGGGTCAAAGGACCACAGGTCATGAAAGGTTACTTAGGACAATCTCAATCTACACAGGAAGTCATCACGACTGATGGTTGGTTTAAAACTGGTAAGCATACCATTTTTATTCACATACAATTTCAGGGAATAGCAATTTTCTAAATTTGTTTGCTTCATTTCTCAAAACTTGTTTGCTTACCATAGGTGATATTGGATACTTTGACAAAGATGGAAATTACTTTGTTGTTGACAGGATAAAAGATATCATCAAATACAAAGGATATCAGGTACTCTCCACATTGTCAAGATTTACCAAGACTTCTGCAGATTTATTCTTTAGTCTTAAAATTTGCGAACACAGTGAATCCTGTCTATTTCAACATTCATTGGGAGGCAAATTTTGTGTCGGAATAGTCAGGGTAAATTGCACAATGTTAAGAACATGGGAAATAGTAAAATGGGAATCAACATAAAGGTCGGAATTCACAGTGAAACGGATTGCACAGGTGTCAGATTAGACAGTTTTCACTGTATTGGAGAATAGTGCCATGTTCCTCAGAATTTTAATTAATACACATTGAAGATATAAGAGATAAGTATTTTTTAAACAGATTGCTCCAGCCTATCTTGAGAACATCCTGATGTCCCACCCCAGTGTAAGGGAAGCAGCAGTTATTGGAGAACCTGTAGGGGTTTATGGGGAAGTCCCCAGGGCATATGTCATTCCCTCTTCTCCTGTTTCTGAAGAAACCCTCATCAACTATGTGAATGGTAAGTGTCTGAGAACTCATTTAAAGAAAGTCCATCTACAAAAATTTTCTTGAATGATGCATGCATTCAAAACACATAATTTTAGGGACATACATGTACATGTATATACAATGTAACCATATTCTTAAATAACTGTCAGTGCTGCTTATAGCAACTGATTTCAATTATTCAATTGCTGAAACAATATACTCAGTAAAAACAAGAGGCCCATTGGCCACAACACTTTTCCTGAGTCACTTTAGCTCTGCTATTCTTCATCATCAGATTTTTTTCATGTAAAACTTTTCATTGTGTATTGTGGCTCAATACACCTCCTGGGGCCATGATTTGAATAAAACTGAATCTACCCTACCCAGAGATGCTTCCATATAAATACAACCACTATGAATCATGACTTGCTCTTCATGAGAAGAAGATTTTTTAAACATTTTTCCTATTTCTTTCTTTTATCTATTTTTTTCTGCATATTCACATGTAAAACTAATCCCTATTGTGGCCCCTACCTGGGGGCATGATTTCAACAAATTTTAAAAATCTTTATTTCCTAAGGATACTTCTGTATTAATTTGATTAATCATATCTTTGCTGTTCTTGAGAAGAAGATTTTTGAAGATTTTTTCCTACATAAAAGTTTGAATGCCTATTGTGCCCCAATCCCCCCCACCAGGGTCATGATTTGAACAAATTTGAATCTAAACTACCTGGATGCTTCCATATAAATTTGACAAATCATGGCTTTGCTGTTCTTGAGAAGATTTTTAAAAGATTATTACTTATATAAAACTTTGGGAGTCATAATTTGAACAAATTTGAATCTACACTACCTGAGGATGCTTGAGCTTTTACTACAGGTGAACTAAAAACTGTAAATTTTATTTAATACCTGTACATACACTGTCATGCAGTAACTTGTGGCAATTCAGTTTATCTTTCTTAGTTCTAAATGACACTGTACTTTTGTTTACAGAACAAGTTGCACCCTACAGACGATTAAGAGGAGGATTGGTGTTTACTAAAGAGATTCCTAAATCCCCCAGTGGAAAAATACTCAGACGACTTATAGGACAGAAACAAGCATAAACTTGTGTTTAAGTCATCAGAATCCTTCCATCACCATTTACATCACTTTCCAAAGAATTATTAAACTTTTCTCAATCAAATATTTTATTTTTCTTTGTTTGTTGAAAAGAATTTGTCTGTTGAAAAGAATTTGTCAAACTAAAGGCAAATCCTAAGTCTCCCAGTGGAAAAATACTTCAAATATGTATAGTCATCAATTTACTGTCAATCATTCAATCATCCTTTGCATTATAATTCACAGAATTATTATACTGTCTCTTCTCTTTCATACATCATCCTTCTTCATCTTCCTTCTGCATTTGTTCTATCAACCTTTTTCTCTCCTCTGCCTGTCTGAGTTTGTGTAACACTAAATTCTCAAAGTCTCTGGCACTGGAAGTTGTACTAGGAGCATATGAGGAAAACTCATTCTGTAAACCAATCAAATTTAATTATACACACAACTGCATCACCGTGATTTTTTTTAACATTTAAAAGGGCATTGTCCCATTTCAATGATACTAACTAAAGTCAGGGTTACCATATAAGCAGAAATTTTAGCAAAGATTCAATTTTGACATTCTTAGCGAGTGTGTTGAGATCACTGAAATAAAATATCGTTAATAATTTATTGAGTACTAGAGGAACCATTATCTTTCTATGCACCATAAAATTGCTAAAATTACTCTCTCTAAAATTTAATACTGATTTGTAAGGATAAATCGCTAAATTTGCGTCTTGCTAAAAATTCCACTTAAACGGTATTTTTCCCCTAGGTTAATTTCACCCCATTGCATTTGAATCTGAATTGCCTCAGTCATTTAAAGAACTATATGCGATATATGCATATTTTTGCCCCCACAAAAGTCATATTTTGAAAATTTCTTGAAATATACTGAATTGTGTATACTATATGAGAAATCTAAATCAACAAAAAATATTATACTTTCAAAGTAGGTTATTGGCAATTTTTGTTTCTATGACATCACAAATTATTCGGATTTTGTGTTATTTTTCAGAAAGAGGAAAAAATGGACAAAATTTGTTCAATTTTTACTATAAAATTTATAGAGCGCAGGCCTGCTCCAGAAAAATATTTACATATTTCATTGATATCATTCTACACATTGTATCAAAATATTGAGTTGGAGCAGACCTGCGCTCGGTGACTTTTACTCAAAATATCGACGTAATATACACCTTTTCTGTATAAATCATGGAAATTTTGAATTTACGTCATTTTCCTGATGTCAAATCTGACATATGGCGTTATGACTTATGAAAATATTCAGTGCTTTGAAGTCTGCAGATATCCCCCTGTTTTAGAACATAATTATATATTTCTCTGTCAAAGTTTGATTTTTGGGGCAAATATTGGTCATTACCAAATGTAGTCCTTTGTCCAGACCAGTTGTGTTAAAAGAGATACTCTATCTTTCTTAAAATTTGCCCATTTGTCGTGAGGCAAAATTGGTGAAAATACAATGGGGCCAAAAAAATGGGGGTAAAAATCATCCTGTACACAGTAAGTTTTTTGTCCTCTTAAATTATTCACCTCCAGTCAATATAGTGTTCTGAAGATTGAAAAGCTGTATTTTTTTTTTTAATTCTAAGTTTTGCCAACTTGACAAAACAGTAAAATTCTGCAAAATAAGAATCGTTACAGGCTTTACATCAGTGCATATGATTCTGTCTATATAAAATATTGATAGAGTGTTTAAATTCAATGAAGCAAAAATTCGTGATTCAGCCTTATTATATTTATGAAAACTCACACTTGTAAAGCTAGTAGCTGTATGTTGTGGAACTGAGGCTGACTGGGAATTCCCCGTGTGTATTGGTCTCTCAGGAGGAGGTTGTATCCATGACAACATCAGGGGATTACTTGATAAACCTTTCTCGTGTTTCTTTGCATCTTCCTGTAAGAAAAAAGAAGATACAACAATGAGGCATTCAAAACCCTAGCTAAACATTCAAAAATAAAAAATTCACATGCAGATAAAAAAATAATATAATATTTAATATTTTCACATTATACCAAAACCAGCTTCCAACATTTATGGCATTTTTCACAGCCATACTGTAAAACTTGGTTATAAAGAATTTGATTATAATGAAATCTTGGTTATAAGGATTTTTTGTGAATCCCCTTGGCGACTTTTTACTGTTACTCATACAGATATAAAGAATGTCTGTTGTAAGGAAGTAAAATCCAACATCCCGGTGACTTTCTTAAAACCAAGTTTTACTGTATCTTCCATTTGGCACACTGTTATTTACTTACAGCTTCAGTCCATGAAGCAAACTCCACAATAGCTGTTCCTCCTTTCTTCTTTGACATAATCAGATTAAGGACATCTCCATACTAAAAATACCAGAAATATATTTTATCAGTGACATAACATCCCTGGTCACCCTGTACTATCAATAAGGACAGACTAAATATGGCACCCAATATATATAATAATATGAAGGGTTAAATTTTAGTGATTTTCATGTTTTCAGGTATAATATCATTTTTATATGCATTTTCAAGCTATGTTATATAAGTTTGTCTTATGTGCCATATATATATATATATATATATATATATATATATATATATATATATATATATATATATATATATATATATATATATATATATACAAATATAAAAACCAAAATCATAACAAAAGTAATGTATTCCATATACATGTTGTTTTGGGATTAAAAGTAACAGGAAGAGTTATCTTGCATGTTATATGTATGTGAAAGGGGCTCTTTTGAAATAGTTTATAAAGTAGTTACCTTGCTGAAGAGATCTGTCAGAATTTCTGAGCTATAGCCTCCATTTGTATCATCATTCTTTTTACACTTCCATTTGACCTACAACATCGAGGGAAATTTTAAGAACATTAAATAAGTAGACAGTCAAAACATATCAAGAGCTATTAAAACTGACAATTGGCCATTAAAAGGACTTTTTTCCCCTTCATGCCAAAGAAATAATGATGTTTGGTATAGGATTCAACCCAAAAAGCCTACTGTAAAATCACATATTTTCATGGGGGCAAATTTTCATGGTTTCATGAAAAAAATTGGGTTCCAGGAGATTGATTTCTTGGATGAAGAATTGTCGAGTAGTAATATATGTGAAAAATTATATTTCATAGTGGACATAAATTTGTGAATCTCTTCATACCTTGAAAACAACGAAAATTAACCCCCATGAATATTAGTGATTTCACAGTATTTTAATATCTTATAGGTCCTGATGATATTTAATACTTACATGTATATAATAAAATAGTTTACTCCGTGAAATACCTTAAAATTGTTGGTAACAATCAATTAGGTTATCAAAAGAATATTTATTTTAAAATTTAATCAAAATTGTTGTCAATTGAGAATTATCAGTAATACATTTACTTAAGTAGAAATTACAAGTACCTTTAGTTAAGGAGCAGCAGTAAGGTAATTTGTTTAGAATGTTATAATTAAATTTATTTTAGAATTGTCAGAAATGCTTTTACTTTTAAGATTAGGAATTATCATCAGTTTAAGAGGGTCAGAAAGAATAACCTTTATACCTTTAGTAAAGGAGTGTCAGTATTACCTTTAGTTTAGAAGTATCAGTAAGTATTACCTTTAGTTTAGGAGGGTTAGTAAGTATTACCTTTAGTTTAGGAGTGTCAGTATTACCTTTAGTTTAGGAGTGTCAGTATTACCTTTAGTTTAGGAGGGTTAGTATTTCCTTTAGTTTAGGAGGTATGCAAGTATTACCTTTAGTTTAGGAGGTATGCAAGTATTACCTTTAGTTTAGGAGTGTCAGTGCTACCTTTAGTTTAGGAGTGTCAGGAAGTATTACCTTTAGGAGTGTAAGTATTACCTTTAGTTTAGGAGTGTCAGGAATGCTGCTTTCATTCTCAGTCCCCTCCTCTGGCTCCAATCTTTTCTGTCCCTCTCTGATTTCCTCCCTCAACCTCTCTTGCTCCTGTTCCAAAAGCTTTGAACCTTCTTTACGTAATCTTTCAATCTGAAAGATTAAAAGGTATGTAGCCATCTTTGTTAATATTAAAACTACACCACTTCAATTTTTTCTAATTTTAACAAACTATTGAATTTCACACTGTAATTCCATCAAAGAAAAATTAGACTTTAAATCTAGACATTATATATTTAAAATTATTAATTATTGTTAATTTTTAATAAGACTTTTATTTGGACCGAACACTTTTTCATTTCCTATGTACATATATACCTCTGCTTGTAGATTTCTTTTCAATGTTAAATCTGCTTCTGTTTGAATATTTGCAGCCTTTTCTCTGCCCTCAAGATCTGTAAGAAACCATTAAAGCATCCATTTTACATAAGGTTTTTATTTCCTTATCAACAATTCTCCACTAAGCATGTCCAGAACTTGGTATAAAAATGTTTTGTCAGCTTTTATATCAATTCTTTAAAATGTGGACTAGATATCTTACCTTCTTTGAACTTTTTGCGCTTGCTATCAAGTTCCTTGTGTCGGGCTTCTGCAGCTTTCTTGGCTTTTTGTGCTTTATCATAAGCAGCCTACATATATATTAATGCTCAGTGTTATTCTTATAATTGTGATGGATGGTGTGCATACAGAATCATCAATATTAGTGGTGGCAAGCAAATACATTTGAAATTTTTTTCTTTCCTTTTTAGTTTTAATCTTTAAAAAAATTTACAAAACAAATACTGTTTTTTTTTTTTATAAGTGTTACTTAAACAGCTTTATTTTTTTTTCAATGAGTCTAAAATTTTTACCCTAGCAGCAGCATCTGTCAATATTTCAAGTGCCTTGGCTAACTGGTGAAACAGCTCAGCTGAAAAAAAAATGATTTCCATTTACTGATCCTCCTCAAATTTAACAACTTCTTTTATAGCAGGCCGCGTGGAGCAGTGGTTAGAGCGTTTGCTCTATAGTCAATGAGTAAGGAGTTGATCCTTGTGTCGCTGGTTCAAATCCCACTGCAGGACGTGGAGACCGGTCGACCGTCCTTCGGATGAGAATGTATAAACTGAGATCCAGTGTCGCAGTAAGTCTG